TAAAATGGGAAGTAAACTGACATTCTTTACCCGTGAATACACTGGTGTCTAATTAGGTGTGACTGATCAGAACAAGTTAACAGTTGTACTATGAGAACACTCCTGGCAATTTTAGAGTTTCTGTCCTGTGTGAGTATGTTGGTGTCGGGAAAGACCTGATTTAATAGAGCAAGCAAATAAACATTTCTTGCACAGTAGGGTTTGTCTCCTGAGAGCCGACCTTTCAGAGCACTACAATATGAACATTCTTTACACTTGTATACAAAGCATGTATAGCTAAGGCAAATCGTATGATTTGTTGGATTGAGAGGAATTTAGTTATTAGAGAAAAGGTTGTTATGATTGCTATATATAAAGCTTTAATAAGACCCCATCTTGAGTATTGTGTCAAATTGTGGAATCCACCTGCAGCTTTAAGAAAGATATGATTTCTAAAAGTATTACAAATGATTGCTTTTTTTGGAATGTTTCTAATTAAATGAAGTTTTAGTAAGAATTGAAGGAGCCAGTAATAAAGAGAAACATAACAATTATCTTTGGTTCCATCCTTATGTGGCAAAGAAGCGTTTTATAAATCTATATTCCACTGGGAAGTTTTTAAAATAGGGTAATGTTTTTGATAAAATTGTTTTTAAATATTGTATTTGATGAATAATTAATGTTGGTGGGGAAATATTTATTATATATTTTTTCACACAGTGCGTTACTGGGCCGCGCTCAGCCTGTCATTCCGCCGAACCTCTATTCGATATGTTTATGAACGTGATAGCCTGAGGTTGCCAGGTAAACAGTGCGATGATATTTTGTAGACATGTGTGATGATGTGATGTCATAAGTTTTACTTTACTTTACTTTACTTTGTAGGGTTTCTCCCCTGTCCTTATATGCGCTGTGAGCCTACCTTTTTGAGCACAAGAATGCAAACATTGACTGCACTTCTACGGTTTCTCTCCTGTTCGAGTACGTTGTTGTATAATAAGAATGATTTAACAGAGCAAATATATATGAACATTCGTTGCAGTTATAGGGTTCCTCTCCCATGTGAGTACGTTGGTGTCTGATAAGATCAGTAGTCACATTTAAAAGCTTTCCCAACAGGGCAAGCATTTTCTTTGCCCAACCAGACTGATGATCGTAAAGACTTTAACAAGACATTTCTAGTAGACATATCATTGATTGCTTCACATTGCGGACAAATGAAACCATGTGATACTCCAGTCACCTCCTCCTGTTTAGTTTTTATTTCCTTTTTGATGGGAATTAAATTTTTTATATTACAAATTCAAACAATATACACATAATATAGCATTGGCCATTGACCCTATATAAAAATTAAATATGAAATCAAATAAAAAATCTTAGTAAATATTATAAAAACCCTTTAAGTACCTTACTCGGGATTATTATGACCGGGATAAAGTGGTGGGTTTAGGGTAATTTCGCCATATTTTTCCCGAACCACATTTTCACCGGTCGTTAATAAACCCGCCTACTCAGCTTTTAGGGTTCCCAAGGGGTATGGGTGCTCATATTTTAATCGTTGTCTTATATTCTCTAAAGAAGACTATTGGGACACTTGTTGTAGGTTTTTCGACTTCATTTGGCTAAAATTGCAAAAAATTCACCTTTTTGCCCAATTCTTGTCATATATCCTTATTGTCAAATTTGATTTAAATAGGCCAATTTTTAATTTCTTAGGTATTGACTATCTCTACATAATGAAATAGGACTCAAAGTACAAGTAACAGTTAAATTAAAACTTGAATTAATTAAAACTGATGAAAGGGATGATCCAGATGAAGATAACGAAGATGATTACAACTTATTGGAAGACTAAACAGCTCAACCTTTATCTTAATATCGATCTGGTTGTTACGCTTCAAATGTTAAAAATTATTTTCCATCTAGTTTGATTAACCACGAGTCATTATTTCTGTCTACTTTCAACAATTATTGATAATTCGACTTGTTTCACAAGTTTTAGCAATGCGAAAATTTCTAAACTTGCTTATCTCTAATAAGGAAATTTACATCTGAGACAAAATCTTTGAATCTAAAATTGAAAGGTTGGACACCGGTAAAATGGCGACCGGGAAAATGTGGTGGGTTTTGAGCAATTTCGCCATATTTTTCCCGAACCATATTTTAACCGGTCGTTAATGAACCCGTCGTAATAATCCCGAGTAAGGTAGTAGAAGTAGCCAGTTCAATTTGTTGGCTCTAAATGTATGTCTAGTTCTGATATTTTAACAGCGTTACCACTTTTTCATTTTTATCCCTCTTTCTCCTCTAAGAGCTATAATTTTTTTTCTCAATAATAAGTCAAATATTATTCTTTTCCTGATAAATTTCATTGCCTCACTGTATCTTTCTCCTAATCTTTTAAACATTCTGTCAGCAATTAACTTTTTGAAAAAAGTAGTTGCTTTTCTTCCCATTACACCTGTTGTTGATTAGGACTATTGATGTAAATGTATGTTACTCTTAACTTTATCAGCATGCAGCTGTAGGTAGTTGGTGTGTACGCGATCTTCTGCGCGGCTGTAATAGGTTCTGATCGATCACGTGAATGCGATTCACGTGCTTTTTAACATCAAATGAGCCTTCGCACTGTTTTTCAGGACGATGGAAGTCGTAATTCACTTAGCCCGAATAAAGATTGGGCGAAATTACAGGCTGAGCGCCGCCCAGTAATAAATAACATAATATATATTAATAGTTTTGTGGTAAATTTAAATTTTGTTTTTCTTAAATTTTATTTTTCTTAGAACGCTGAACGCAGCAAACAAATTCTCACCAGAGCCTTGACATACGTTGCATGCCACTTTTCGCGCGCGAAGCGCGCGCCGCCGTATCAACCAGAGCCCTTGCGTTAACAATAGCGCGCGCCTAGCTCGCCTGCCCCGTACGGTAAAAAGTTGTATCGCGTCGTGACCCCCACGGTCGTTTTCCTTTACTGTTTATCGTCCTGACGATACAGGGCTAACATAGCCATGTGTCTACGCGTACTGCGTGACGCGATTGTTTCACCTTCAGCGGTCGTGCGCTACTGCAAGCGAGAGGGCTCTCGTTAGAGCAAGATACAGGAGGAGCCGCGCACTCGCGCGCGGCGGGTCATACAACAAGTAGAAAGCACATGGTGAGGTGGATATAAAATTAGGGACGTGTGGTAAGTTTATTGCTCTAACCAAAGCCCTTTCGCTTGCAAAACGCTCCTACTAAATCGCTCGCCCAAATTTTAAGAAAATTCTTGTGAATGGTGAAAAGGCCCTTTGGGCATGAAAGTAATCTATATCGGTGTATTTTGGACGCTGATTCCGCATCAGCCCTCCTGACGTAGAGTTAAAATGCTTCCCTGGAGAGTTATGGGCAAAAAACCGTTTTGGTCACGTGACAGGCTAGTAAAATACGAATTCGATTGTTTAGGGCCCTGGTTAGGGTTAGGGTTGTGGTAAGGGTTATGGTTAACTTCGGGGTTATGGTTAGGGTTAGGGTTGGGATTGTCATACGTTGTATGACCCGCCGCGCACGAAGTGCGCGGCTCCCCCTGTAGCGTCGAAGACGCTACTATAGTGAAGCGACCGTGGGGGTCACCACGTGATACAAGGTTGGGATTAGGGTTTATGTATAACGGTTTTGTCCGGCTGCAAAACCATAAAAACCAAAGTCACGTGAAATTTTTGGGCGAGCGAATTAGCAAAACCCCTTGCAGAAAGGGCTTAATTCGATTTTGAAAATTGTAGACCTCGTTTTTCGACGATTTTTTCAGGTCCAAGATTTTTAAATTGAATAAAAATTTTTCCTATCTCAAAATTTTGGCCCGACAATCTCTTTTAAATGGTCCTTAGAACATATCCTGAAAGTTTCAGGGTGATTGCTCAAAAAATGTAGGAGGAGATTTTTAGACTCGATTTTCAGGGTTCTTCTACATCATAAGTCCTATAAAAAATGACATGTGTCAGTATGTCAGTTGAACTGTTCAAAAAATTATTGAGTGAAACTTTTTGCAAAACCAAGCCATAAGAGAAATCACAGAAGAAAATGTAAATTAGTATTTGAATATTTAATAAATGAAAACCACACTTTTAGAAACCTTATCTCATGACAGTTATCCTATTGAAACCCCAAATATTAGTCTATATTTATTCATTAGCTATGCTTCTTCCCAGTCTAGTGTCTAGATCACAAGGCCTTACTTTTTTTAACAGTACCTATTTTTTAAATGCTCATTGGAAAATTCGATCTATATTCTTTTGATGCTTTGTAGATGTTGATGGTAACATTTTGAACATTTAAAATATAATTTTGAACATTACAGTAAAGTTGTTCACATCTCAAACAGAAAAAATATATGTGATATACTTTGTTACCTGGTATGTGTCACTTTTGCATGTTAAAAGTTTCTTTCTTCAACCATAGACTTGCTTCTGGTCTTGTTAAATATATAATTTACAGTTTTCAATCCTGCTTTGATGCATCCAGAGCCATTCTAGGGTGTTGAAATCGTTTGGCTTTGCATCTAGCGGAGGCCTCCATGGGTGGTGAGGCCAGCTCCCCAAACCCCCTGAGTCAGCCCAGGTGAGCTAAAACCCACATTCTCTAAAGGTCTAAAACACCGAACCCCTTGATGGGCCACCAAAATTCAGTCAGCTGCGAAACAGAAGAGAAGATTATATTCGAAAATCTGGTCCAAAATGTCTCCTTATAGCCTGATGATATTCCGTTTATCAAAGCTTTCTTTTTTAATCTAGCTTTCAACTCACTAATTGGTCATTGCCTCACTGAAGAAAAATTCAATCAAAACAGTGAAATTTGGTTAAGGAAAGTTAATATAATCTGAACATTTTCATGATTTTCCATCCATCAAAGTTTTCTCCAGCTAATCTGCTTCCAGTCACACTGACCTCACTTGTTGGTCATTGGTAAAAATTCAGTTTAAACTGTGAAATGTCAGTCATGGAAATGGCAGAAAGATTTGATCACACAATACTCTTTGGTAGTTCAATGTTACCGGGCAAGATGTAGTAGATGGAGTTGTGAAGCAAGCAATATACAATGACTGTTGAGACAAGCACGCCTACACAAGCTGTTGAGGAACTTTACAAGTATTTAGGTAACATGACGTTTTATTTAAAAGATAGTAATTCATTTGCAGTTTCGTTGCGAGGTTGTTTGCCTAGTTATCTATGTTAGATTGTAAGCATTCCATGTTTCTTTCAATTGACGAAACATATTATATATTTATTCAGGTGAATTAAAGTCGAGGGGAGGTCAGAATGTTGAATATGTCAAGGCAGTTTTCGAAAATCATCAGGTATTGTATACTTTAGAGTAGATATTCTAGCCAATTTCAACTTTTATAACCGGACTCAGTCTTAATTTACTATGATATCTTGGTTTTCAGTCAATTTTTAACACATCACAAAATTGTATCTGTCCAGTTTGCACGGCAATTATTTCAGTTCAGCAACATATGTATGCTATACCAGCTGATAGGCATTGCAAACTCCTTGCCCCGCCCCCGGGATTCTCATGTCAGTAGAACGCTAGGAACATTGTTAGACGCCCTCTCTAACAGCCCATCAGAACACGCGCAGGAGCTCAAGTAAGAATTATTTTATGTAATAATAATAATTAATAATATTGAAATCATATAATATAATCATATGACCATACGTCATCACGTTCACTAGTTTCGGAATAAGATGCAATGCTGTGTAAGAATGAAAAGTATGCATTTTAATACATTATTGTAGAAGTACACAGTACAATCGTACAATCGTACTCCAAAATTTGCCTGCACTTCTCGTTAAGCAAACCAGATCATATCTTGGTGTGTCAGCCTAGTAGGTATAATTATCATGATATTGCACATTATAATTGCTGGATAATGGAGAATGATGTGTAATACTGACCGCATTTGAATTAAGTTACTTATTTCTGCACTGTATCCATTGCAAGTATTGGTTATTGTACCACTGTTCGTAAAGTTTAAGGTTAATTAAGCTTGGTTGCTGCACCCGTAGGGCGTAGGCTATAGTTATAAACTGGTAGATATAATAGATTCATTCCAATTTAATTAGATGTCACCTGTGTTGAATAATGTCTTGAAAAATCACAATTCAATAAATTGAATTTCAATTGATTCTATTTAAAAGTTTTGTGCGTTGTTACAAATTTAGATTGTGTTTCCATCGTTTGAACGATCTTTTAAAAGGTGATATAATAATATTCCTCATGATAATATGCAAGACCTTATTTAGATAATGTCAGCATTGAAAATGTAAAGTTTTAGTTCGAATGGCCTCTATCAGCTTTTTAGGCCACACCCCTAGATAGGGATTATAGATAATAAACCACCATTCATGAAGTGATATCATATAAAATCATAAAACAACTGATGATACAAATTGACATAAAATCAACATCACGAAGTGAACTTTAGCTGTCACGTGACTAGAATCAGAACTTTAACTATATCACTGTACATTTATTAAACAATAAACTTATAAAGTGTAAAGGGGACATGCAACAAAACCATTCATGATTTGGCACGGCCAATGAATACATATTTGGAAGATATAGACAAAAACAATATAAACGATTTTGGTGTATGTCCCTTTAAGTCTAATATAGTATGATGACAAACTGGTTACTAATTGGACTGTTAACAGTTTACACTACACAATGTGTCAATTTACTTGGCAAAGATACAATATATTTAACGCGGCTTTTAGAAATTAAACTGCTGACAATACCGTTATACTTTTATATTTTTCTGGCATGTCACGAGTGATATTTAACGATGGGTTAAATATAGCTATCGTGTTTAATGATTAGTTACAAATTGAAACTTGTTGTCTTTCATAAGTGTTGTCGTGTTAGATTGTATTTACGTTGGTGTCTCTTGAAAATAATATTTATACTGTGAACTTACTCAAAGTTAAATTAAATATAATATCTTCGGTAGGATATGTGATTTCTTTGATAGATTAATATTTGATCCCTTCAAATATTCAACTATTAACCACTACAATATAGACGTATCAGACTTTTAAAGATATCCCTGTAGGTGTTTGTTAGAAGATACGTATCTATCAAGCTTTACGGATGTGATCAGTAAGATACTATTACGAGATTACGACGTCGTTCCACCCGGTCACCACCTTGATCCTGATGAGATGGACGAGGTTTAGATTTATTTTACCTTGATTAACACGTTTTCACTTTCTAATAACCAGTGGTCAAATTGTGATTTCAAATTTTAGTAAATTATTATTCGTCAGATTAAATAGTTAACATTTAAATTGAACATTCCCCAGAGCTGAGTACACATGATTTTGTGAGTGTTAACAGTACCTATGTTTAAGTACCTACAGTACCTATGTATAGGTACCTACAGTACCTATGCTGTCAATATTGATGTCCTTAAGTTTTTACTAAATAGTACAAAATAAGGCCCCGCTCTGTAATGTTTTGCTCATTTTATTATTCATCAGAGTTCAGAGAAAGTGCGGATGATAGGACTACACAAGGGTAAAGGGGAACCTCTGGGAATAACACTGAAGAAGACGAAAGAGGGAATTGTGATAGCTAGGATATTACATGGTGGCTTAATAGGGAGACAAGGATTACTCTCTGTGGGTGACATCATATTAGAGGTTAGTTACGTAATGTTAGAGGTTAGTTACGTCATATTAGAGGTTAGTTACGTCATATTAGAGGTTAGTTACGTCATATTAGAGGTTAGTTACGTCATATTAGAGGTTAGTTACGTCATATTAGAGGTTAGTTGTTACGTCATGTTAGAGGTTAGTTACGTAATGTTAGAGGTTAGTTACGTCATATTAGAGGTTAGTTACGTCATATTAGAGGTTAGTTACGTCATGTTAGAGGTTAGTTACGTCATATTAGAGGTTAATTACGTCATATTAGAGGTTAGTTACGTCATATTAGAGGTTAGTTACGTCATATTAGAGGTTAGTTACGTCATATTAGAGGTTAGTTACGTCATATTAGAGGTTAGTTACGTCATATTAGAGGTTAGTTGTTACGTCATGTTAGAGGTTAGTAACGTAATGTTAGAGGTTAGTTACGTCATATTAGAGGTTAGTTACGTCATATTAGAGGTTAGTTACGTCATGTTAGAGGTTAGTTACGTCATATTAGAGGTTAATTACGTCATATTAGAGGTTAGTTACGTCATATTAGAGGTTAGTTACGTCATATTAGAGGTTAGTTGTTACGTCATGTTAGAGGTTAGTTACGTAATGTTAGAGGTTAGTTACGTCATATTAGAGGTTAGTTACGTCATGTTAGAGGTTAGTTACGTCATATTAGAGGTTAGTTACGTCATATTAGAGGTTAGTTACGTCATATTAGAGGTTAGTTACGTCATATTAGAGGTTAGTTACGTCATGTTAGAGGTTAGTTACGTCATATTAGAGGTTAGTTACGTCATGTTAGAGGTTAGTTACGTAATGTTAGAGGTTAGTTACGTCATATTAGAGGTTAGTTACGTCATATTAGAGGTTAGTTACGTCATATTAGAGGTTAGTTACGTCATATTAGAGGTTAGTTACGTCATGTTAGAGGTTAGTTACGTCATATTAGAGGTTAGTTACGTCATGTTAGAGGTTAGTTACGTCATGTTAGAGGTTAGTTACGTCATGTTAGAGGTTAGTTACGTCATGTTAGAGGTTAGTTACGTCATATTAGAGGTTAGTTACGTCATGTTAGAGGTTAGTTACGTCATATTAGAGGTTAGTTACGTCATATTAGAGGTTAGTTACGTCATGTTAGAGGTTAGTTACGTCATGTTAGAGGTTAGTTACGTCAAATTAGAGGTTAGTTACGTCATATTAGAGGTTAGTTACGTCATATTAGAGGTTAGTTACGTCATGTTAGAGGTTAGTTACGTCATATTAGAGGTTAGTTACGTCATATTAGAGGTTAGTTACGTCATATTAGAGGTTAGTTACGTCATGTTAGAGGTTAGTTACGTCATATTAGAGGTTAGTTACGTCATATTAGAGGTTAGTTACGTCATATTAGAGGTTAGTTACGTCATATTAGAGGTTAGTTACGTCATATTAGAGGTTAGTTACGTCATATTAGAGGTTAGTTACGTCATGTTAGAGGTTAGTTACGTCATATTAGAGGTTAGTTACGTCATGTTAGAGGTTAGTTACGTCATATTAGAGGTTAGTTACGTCATATTAGAGGTTAGTTACGTCATGTTAGAGGTTAGTTACGTCATATTAGAGGTTAGTTACGTCATGTTAGAGGTTAGTTACGTCATATTAGAGGTTAGTTACGTCATGTTAGAGGTTAGTTACGTCATGTTAGAGGTTAGTTACGTCATATTAGAGGTTAGTTACGTCATATTAGAGGTTAGTTACGTCATGTTAGAGGTTAGTTACGTCATATTAGAGGTTAGTTACGTCATATTAGAGGTTAGTTACGTCATATTAGAGGTTAGTTACGTCATATTAGAGGTTAGTTATGTGATGTTAGAGGTTAGTTATGTCATGTTAGAGGTTAGTTACGTCATGTTAGAGGTTAGTTACGTCATATTAGAGGTTAGTTACGTCATATTAGAGGTTAATTACGTTATGTTATACGGCTGTGACGTCACGACTTCATAAATCCGCTCGTCATAATATTTGAAGTCATGGGTAATGGGTATGCACATGTTCTGCATGTTTGTTTGTTCAGTGTACAATGAACAAACAAAGTGTAACATTTCACATTGTTCTCTACTACAAGCAACATGTATTAATGTTAAGTTATCACTAGGAAACACGTTAGACTATTACAATACATCCCCCAACACGGCTACCCCACCACGGCCCGGCTCTCCTGGACAGCCCGTGTTTTAATTAGTATAAATACACGCTCTCTCAGCTCTCGGAGCTCATGCTGGGCAGTGTTCATTGCTTTGTTGGTAGTTCATCACCGCTTTTACTTTTTGAAATATCTCCCGCCTGATTGTACACTATTTGTTATTGTACTAGTATATTAAATCGAAGTTCTAAACAAGGGATAGTTAAAACAACGCCCAACTTTCCCTAAAACAAATAACTAAATATCAAAAACTTCATTGTAATTTCTGCCAATATCTACCAGTACTTTTTGTTATTGTATCGGTAAATCTGATGCTTTAGATAAGCGGCTTGCTAACGACCTCCATCATATTATAAATGAACTAGTGTAACCCGGCCTACGGCCGGGATTTCACTGCCGCAGTTAAAAAGGGTAGGAGTAATTACCCGCTGAGTTAAAACCCGGATTAGGCGAGCAATTCTATTCGGAGTGCCCTCACGTATCCAATAGTATGCTTAAAAGATAGTAATTCTTAATCAATAATCGATAGAAATTAACCCTTAACACCATGCACCACACCAGCCTATCATATTTGTGAACATGCATTACATTGTCGTATGAAAGTATGAACTCTCTCTACAGTCCAAACAGACCGTTTGAGCACTCCCTCCCTAATAAGTTTATAGTATTATATGACCATGTAATATATACGCCATGTAATATATACGCTACATAATATTATGCAGAGAGAGAGAGAGAGCTAGCCCCGTAACTCTTGCCGTTCTTCTCAAGCCATTTTATGTAACATATTTTGTGGTAAAAAACCATCAATTAAACCACTTACCACCGGCCGATTTTTATAAAATTTGCTTATTGGCTTCGTCAGAGTTTTGTCGGCACTATACCGAAAAAACCAGTCCCGTAACTATTACTGTTTTTTTTGTATAACCGTTCGGAAATTACACACAGACGATCAGACAGACAGACAGACAGACACACACACACACACACACACATTCTGGTGTTATTAAGGTGATTCTCTTCGCCACAAAATATAAAACGCCATGCGAATCTCTAATTTTCTGGTCCTACAAAACTGAAGCATCCAATGTTAGTTAAAACACAACATAATCCTTGATCCACACCACTAAACATCTCACCCTAAACATCTCACCCACACTAAACATCTCACCCTCGCTCTAACACAGGTAAATGGAGCTAAAGTATCTGACGACCCGAGCGAAGTGCAACAGTGGCTAACCAACACATCAGGAAGTCTCATGCTCACTATACTACCTTCCTTTAACCCCGCCATGTCCGATGTCAAGCAGCTCTTTGTACGTGCTTTCTTTGATTACGATCCTGCTACTGATGATATGTGTCCCAGCAAGGAGTTTGGGCTGCCCTTTAAGTTTGGGGAAATACTCCAGGTATGGTTTAGCTTTACTTTAATAGTCAGTTTTATTTGTATTGTGGTCATGATTGTTTGTGGTGGTAAATTTTATCTGTTAGTACAGTTATGCTAGTGATTAGCTGAAACTATGTGTAGTTTTGAAATAGCACAATTTCGATATGATATATTATTATGTAATGACATTTATTACTAACACAAAGATTTTTTAACACTGCATAATTAATCTGCCTGTACAAATAATCTGGTTTGATAGACATTTTATGATACTGTGCATATCTATTTTTGATTCGAATAAAGTTATAATATAATGTAATGATATTATGACCTGGTACTGATTCTTCGTGGCAGTGAATATTATCTTTAAGTTATACCAGCGATTCGGTTCGTGTCTCTTTTAAACTAGACAATGTCAATGTGAGGAGATTATGTCTTTTAGGGCCATATTTACCATATTTGCTTAAAGTACGAATTTGAAAGAAGAATTTTGAGTGCCACATTTAAGTGACAATATAATAGGGCCCCCAACCCCTCATAAAAATTTGTATTTACTAACTGAGATCCTCTAAATGCTGTATGGCCCTAAGGGCTGATAAATAATCTGACTGCTATGAATTAATAGTATTTTCTTATTATATTCACGATTAAATCTTTCATGTGCGCGGAAAAATAGACGTGCTCATACTACACTGTATATTATATTGTAGTATTGTGCATACTTTGTATTTGGAATAGAATTGGCTCGTTCACGTGTAAGCAAATTTACAGAGCTTTCTTGAGATTTGTGATTTATCACCAGTCATGTGACACTTAAGAAGATGATATGCATTTTCCCGTGTTATTATTGCATACATTTCACACAATGTAACGGAGAATTTGTTTAACAATGTCTCATATCTTCCACCTGCGTGCTGCACAAGAATGTTTTAAACTATTCTTTGTACTGAATTGAATATTTCATACACGGTGAGTAGCTGAACTACATTGTGCACGGTGCACAAGTACTGCCGCTACGCTGCAGAGTGAATATCTTAGCAGAGCCAATATAGTTAATGTTGCTATAATGGGGTTGTGACAAGTCCCCATTCATCACAGCCCGCTAGTTTTACTGCCTCCTTATATATAGCGGATATGATACTATATAATATAATTATCTTATATTATGTAACCTCAGTGTACTGTGCTCTGTAGTCGGATAAAATGTCAATAATGTATCATTGTCAATGCACGAAAGTATAACAAAGGTTCTGTACCTTCATCATATACTGTCAAGCCCACAATGTTACATTGTTATACTGTTACAATGTCACAATGTTACACTTTTACATTCTCTACAATATCTCCCTACACAATGTCAGTAGGTAGTGCAACTTAATTAATTAATTATTGGTTAAGAGCGTGTATAATGACCGGGTGTTTGATAAACACTACAATGTGTGGCCCAGTCTAATGGAATGCATGACAAACGTTTAACTCATCAATCATGACGTCATAGTTTATTGAGCTCACCGTTATATTGTTGACTACTTGACTGCCCATTATGTTCACTACAATGCCCTCTAGCAGGGCTCACCCTCTTGTGTGTAATCTTCTTTAATAGGGGTTCGCAAATCAAATCAGTTTGTGTATGTGCACAGTGTTGCGTTATATTGAGAGGTTATACTTATAGCAATATACTGACTTAGTGTAACATAATCAGATATACCATCGCAGTTTAAAAGTTCCTTTACCCCATCATGAGCAGAGGTTTTCCATCATGTCATAACTCATCTCTTACTGAGGATACTAGAGAACGTCCACTAACCTCTAATCCTACAGGAGGGAACGTCCACTAACTAACCTCTAATCCTACATGTTGTGATACGAGGGAATGTCCACTAACTAACCTATAATCCTACATGTAGTGATACGAGGGAACGTCCACTAACTAACCTCTAATCCTACAGGTAGTGATACGAGGGAACGTCCACTAACCTCTAGATCTCTAAATAGTTAGTGATACGAGAGAACGTCCACTATAACCTATACTATTACAGGTAGTAAACAAGGACGATGATAACTGGTGGCAAGCTGTAAAGGTGCACAGTGAGAATGAAAGTGAGCGACCCCGGCAAGCTGGTCTTATACCCAGTCTTGTGCTTCAAGAGAGGCGCAGAGCTTTCATCAACCAGGATATGGTAGGTAGCTTTAAAGCTTTTAGAGTTTTTTTAGTTCTTTTATTGTACCTTTTAGACAAAATCTTAAGGACAAATTTCTTAACAGCTTTATACTGCTGACAGTATTAAATTCAAGGTTATTACAATATCATCTTAAATGAAAAATACAAATCTATTTGATATGACATTAAACAAAGTTCAAAATATGTAATTGTCTTTAATCGCATGATAACACCAGGTCAAGAAAGCAAAGTCAATGAAGAAGCGGAAGATAATGTACTCAACCCAAAAGAATGCAGACTACGACAGGCACTCAGTTCCCATCTACGAGGAGCTCGCCAGAATGCCTCCATTCCAACGTAAAACCATGGTTCTTGTAGGATCTGACAACACGGGCAAAGATTCTCTAGTCAGTAAACTCCTGACAAAGGATCCTGATAGATTAGGTTTGTGTATTTAAAGTGTAATCATGTAATTGGATTACTCGTTAGAGAATGACGAGATTATCAATGATGTGTACATTCCTAACATTCGTGAAAAAGTAACGTGATACTGTAACTCTTGTAACTTTGATACTTATCTGAGTATTACAGCCCTTATTAGCACGCAATTGTAGCCCTCGTTTACCTCATTTTACTGGCTGTAATCCAGAGTAAACAGTCTCCTTCTCCTTTAAACTTTATAATTGAACATGGTAAAATTCAAAATCGTTTTGCCATTCCGCACGACTAACTAGATAACCCTAAAACTTGGGAAAGAATGACATGAATGTCCAGTAAAAGTGGGTTACTATTAATAAACAGCATTAACCTGAACTACAACCCTATTCAGCAACTCCTATGTAAAAGTGGGTTACTATTAATAAATAGCATTAAACTGAACTACAACCCTATTCAGCAACTCCTATGCCACACACTTCTAGAAGGCCCCGTGATGGGGAGGACTCTGGACAAGGTTACTGGTTCGCTAAAAGCAGAAAAGAAATGGAGGACGAGTTCTTACAAGGTTTTTACTTTATTCTTTCAAGTTCCAAGTAACCTGGATTTTCTGTATGATTTGTAAGTTCTTGGAACAAGCTATGAAAAGGTTAAGATATCTATATTGTCCAACAATTGCAAAAGTGACTAAGTTAGTACTGTTAATAAACATAAAACTGGAACCACCTTTCAGGAAAATACCTAGAGTTTGGTGAGTACGAGGGTAATTTGTACGGAACTAAACTAGACAGTGTGCGAGCGGTAATGAGAAGCGGGAAAACATGCGTCTTATCAATCCACCCTCAGTCTCTTAAATCTATCAGGTCAGTTTTACACTTTCCCAGTCTTATTTAGCAGATTAATTATATCTAATAAATTAAACAGTCCATATGTTCCGACAAGTGTGTTTTCTCAATTAATACTATTCTTTCCTCACATTGGTTACATGGGATTCTGTGTTTCAAAATAACGCAATCACATCACGCCACAGTATTTCATATGACGTCATCATATTAGAGTTCAACTAGTTAGTAAGCCAAGAATTGGATCACGAAAAATGACAGAAGTATTACGCAGTTATATAAGGTAATAATCAAGTGATATTAAATCCGTTTATTCCCAGAACGCCAGAGTTCATGCCATTTGTTGTGTTCGTGACAAATGAAGACGAGATGGCCAGTGATAAGAGTGATAGCCGAACTATGTACGACGATTACAGGTAAAATATTATTAAATCTGTATTCTAAGTATTAACTTCCTTGTTTTACATTTTTATTTTGGGATTTGCCTGCCGTTTAGTAAAATTAATGTGTCGTTTTCGCCGGTACTCATTATATTACTCTCTGTCACTTTGTAAAGTTTAAAAAATGAAACCTTTGACAAGACCGACATTTTAAATTAGAGTTCTCAAAATATGTCGAATCTTATTGTTATTATCAAATATCAAATCATAGTTAATCATTGTAAATCACAATACTCATATTTCGCCGGTACTCATTATATTACTCTCTGTCACTTTGTAAAGTTTAAAAAATGAAACCTTTGACAAGACCGACATTTTAAATTAGAGTTCTCAAAATATGTCGAATCTTATTGTTATTATCAAATATCAAATCATAGTTAATCATTGTAAATCACAATACTCATATTTCAGACAGTATTTCGACAAATCAATAAAAATTTCTAACCACAATTATATTGATATTTCAGACAGTATTTCGACAAATCAATAAACATTTCTAACCACAATATTGATATTTCAGACAGTATTTCGACATGATGATAAACCTGGATCCACGTGATCTGGAAGGCGCTTACACTTCAGTAAGACAGGGACTCAAAAGATGTGAGCTGGACCATCAGTGGGTACCAGTCAGTTGGGTTTATTAGACTAATTACCCTAATTAGCCTTTAATGAGATGCTAATCGAGAACTAATTATCGATCTCGTGATATGTTTACCACACACAAGAGTTAATACCAGTAATTAATTACCTTACCCCATATTAATATACCCTGTGTTTTATATAATATACGTGTCAACAATAACATAACTAGCTGCTCGTTATCAAGTGTTAGATGTATTATATTTATTTTAGCAATTTCGCAGAAAAAAATTGTTATTTTCAAAGTATGTATTCTGTTTATTACGTTTTAATGAAAGAGTTTTTTTGAAACGAAGCTCAGATTATTATATTAACAATTTTAAAGTTTACCACAGATCTATAATATATTGCTACTAGTCAGAATTGTTTTAATGCGCTTAAGTCTGGTACAGCATGGAATTTCTTATTGTTATTCAGAAACAAATTTTGCTCGTGAGATTTTGAGTTTTATTTGTCCAAGAAGTGGATTCTGAATTTAGATAATGGCAGCACGATATGCAATGTATTCCCTTATTTACGAATTTGAATTCAGGGAATTTGAATTTGGTCTGCTAATGGTAAAATGAATTCGGTGAGGACTTCCCGCACTAGTGAATACTGAATCTGACAAAATATTTCCATATTTGGAAATCATTGATTATTGCCCTGGACGCTTGTCCAGCATATATTTATGTCAATAGATTAGGAGCAGTTTAGCGCAAAATCAGGCATTTCCAAAATTGTATAATTTTGACGAATCATAAAAGGGCAATGCAAGATTCTCAGTGTGCGAGCAGTAATGAGAAGCGGGAAAACATGCGTCTTATCAATCCACCCTCAGTCTCTTAAATCTATCAGGTCAGTTTTACACTTTCCCAGTCTTATTTAGCAGATTAATTATATCTAATAAATTAAACAGTCCATATGTTCCGACAAGTGTGTTTTCTCAATTAATACTATTCTTTCCTCACATTGGTTACATGGGATTCTGTGTTTCAAAATAACGCAATCACATCACGCCACAGTATTTCATATGACGTCATCATATTAGAGTTCAACTAGTTAGTAAGCCAAGAATTGGATCACGAAAAATGACAGAAGTATTACGCAGTTATATAAGGTAATAATCAAGTGATATTAAATCCGTTTATTCCCAGAACGCCAGAGTTCATGCCATTTGTTGTGTTCGTGACAAATGAAGACGAGATGGCCAGTGATAAGAGTGATAGCCGAACTATGTACGACGATTACAGGTAAAATATTATTAAATCTGTATTCTAAGTATTAACTTCCTTGTTTTACATTTTTATTTTGGGATTTACCTGCCGTTTAGTAAAATTAATGTGTCGTTTTCGCCGGTACTCATTATATTACTCTCTGTCACTTTGTAAAGTTTAAAAAATGAAACCTTTGACAAGACCGACATTTTAAATTAGAGTTCTCAAAATATGTCGAATCTTATTGTTATTATCAAATATCAAATCATAGTTAATCATTGTAAATCACAATACTCATATTTCAGACAGTATTTCGACAAATCAATAAAAATTTCTAACCACAATTATATTGATATTTCAGACAGTATTTCGACAAATCAATAAACATTTCTAACCACAATATTGATATTTCAGACAGTATTTCGACATGATGATAAACCTGGATCCACGTGATCTGGAAGGCGCTTACACTTCAGTAAGACAGGGACTCAAAAGATGTGAGCTGGACCATCAGTGGGTACCAGTCAGTTGGGTTTATTAGACTAATTACCCTAATTAGCCTTTAATGAGATGCTAATCGAGAACTAATTATCGATCTCGTGATATGTTTACCACACACAAGAGTTAATACCAGTAATTAATTACCTTACCCCATATTAATATACCCTGTGTTTTATATAATATACGTGTCAACAATAACATAACTAGCTGCTCGTTATCAAGTGTTAGATGTATTATATTTATTTTAGCAATTTCGCAGAAAAAAATTGTTATTTTCAAAGTATGTATTCTGTTTATTACGTTTTAATGAAAGAGTTTTTTTGAAACGAAGCTCAGATTATTATATTAACAATTTTAAAGTTTACCACAGATCTATAATATATTGCTACTAGTCAGAATTGTTTTAATGCGCTTAAGTCTGGTACAGCATGGAATTTCTTATTGTTATTCAGAAACAAATTTTGCTCGTGAGATTTTGAGTTTTATTTGTCCAAGAAGTGGATTCTGAATTTAGATAATGGCAGCACGATATGCAATGTATTCCCTTATTTACGAATTTGAATTCAGGGAATTTGAATTTGGTCTGCTAATGGTAAAATGAATTCGGTGAGGACTTCCCGCACTAGTGAATACTGAATCTGACAAAATATTTCCATATTTGGAAATCATTGATTATTGCCCTGGACGCTTGTCCAGCATATATTTATGTCAATAGATTAGGAGCAGTTTAGCGCAAAATCAGGCATTTCCAAAATTGTATAATTTTGACGAATCATAAAAGGGCAATGCAAGATTCTCAGTGTGCGAGCGGTAATGAGAAGCGGGAAAACATGCGTCTTATCAATCCACCCTCAGTCTCTTAAATCTATCAGGTCAGTTTTACACTTTCCCAGTCTTATTTAGCAGATTAATTATATCTAATAAATTAAACAGTCCATATGTTCCGACAAGTGTGTTTTCTCAATTAATACTATTCTTTCCTCACATTGGTTACATGGGATTCTGTGTTTCAAAATAACGCAATCACATCACGCCACAGTATTTCATATGACGTCATCATATTAGAGTTCAACTAGTTAGTAAGCCAAGAATTGGATCACGAAAAATGACAGAAGTATTACGCAGTTATATAAGGTAATAATCAAGTGATATTAAATCCGTTTATTCCCAGAACGCCAGAGTTCATGCCATTTGTTGTGTTCGTGACAAATGAAGACGAGATGGCCAGTGATAAGAGTGATAGCCGAACTATGTACGACGATTACAGGTAAAATATTATTAAATCTGTATTCTAAGTATTAACTTCCTTGTTTTACATTTTTATTTTGGGATTTACCTGCCGTTTAGTAAAATTAATGTGTCGTTTTCGCCGGTACTCATTATATTACTCTCTGTCACTTTGTAAAGTTTAAAAAATGAAACCTTTGACAAGACCGACATTTTAAATTAGAGTTCTCAAAATATGTCGAATCTTATTGTTATTATCAAATATCAAATCATAGTTAATCATTGTAAATCACAATACTCATATTTCAGACAGTATTTCGACAAATCAATAAAAATTTCTAACCACAATTATATTGATATTTCAGACAGTATTTCGACAAATCAATAAACATTTCTAACCACAATATTGATATTTCAGACAGTATTTCGACATGATGATAAACCTGGATCCACGTGATCTGGAAGGCGCTTACACTTCAGTAAGACAGGGACTCAAAAGATGTGAGCTGGACCATCAGTGGGTACCAGTCAGTTGGGTTTATTAGACTAATTACCCTAATTAGCCTTTAATGAGATGCTAATCGAGAACTAATTATCGATCTCGTGATATGTTTACCACACACAAGAGTTAATACCAGTAATTAATTACCTTACCCCATATTAATATACCCTGTGTTTTATATAATATACGTGTCAACAATAACATAACTAGCTGCTCGTTATCAAGTGTTAGATGTATTATATTTATTTTAGCAATTTCGCAGAAAAAAATTGTTATTTTCAAAGTATGTATTCTGTTTATTACGTTTTAATGAAAGAGTTTTTTTGAAACGAAGCTCAGATTATTATATTAACAATTTTAAAGTTTACCACAGATCTATAATATATTGCTACTAGTCAGAATTGTTTTAATGCGCTTAAGTCTGGTACAGCATGGAATTTCTTATTGTTATTCAGAAACAAATTTTGCTCGTGAGATTTTGAGTTTTATTTGTCCAAGAAGTGGATTCTGAATTTAGATAATGGCAGCACGATATGCAATGTATTCCCTTATTTACGAATTTGAATTCAGGGAATTTGAATTTGGTCTGCTAATGGTTAAATGAATTCGGTGAGGACTTCCCGCACTAGTGAATACTGAATCTGACAAAATATTTCCATATTTGGAAATCATTGATTATTGCCCTGGACGCTTGTCCAGCATATATTTATGTCAATAGATTAGGAGCAGTTTAGCGCAAAATCAGGCATTTCCAAAATTGTATAATTTTGACGAATCATAAAAGGGCAATGCAAGATTCTCGAATATTTAACATAAATTGACAGTTTAGATGCGGATTGGGGCATTATCAATAATTTATTCTAAAGAATTGTGTACTGGATTTGTAGGGCGCAAGTTTTTATCAGTATGGCGCTAGCATTGGTGCACGCACTTGCAGCACGCACGCGCGTATTTTCAATTTTGTTCATGCTATTAAATTAATTAAAGTGTTAAGTCCTGCGCGGACTTAACTTGTAGCGCGATGCACTACTGGGTCGCGCGCGCGCATCCAATAATGCTTCTCGCAACCACGTATGCAGATCGGCGAGATGCGAAGGATTGACATCGTGAATCAAGGACTTAACATGTGGCACAAATATCTCTATTTAATCTGCTTTCGTCACGCTTTTTGCATTCCATTCCGCTTATACCAGTAATAAACGCACTCAACGCCGCCTTTTCACGGTTTTATATACGGTTATAATAATCACCATGAGTGAGGAGTCCTCGACATGGTAGTGCTATATTCCACACCGGATGGTTGTGTTAAAATTGGTGGAAACGATGCCAGGCCATATGCAGCCCCGACATGATATGAGCTGGACGAGGCTGATCAGACAATCAGGAAACTCTAACTGTTCAAGAGAGACCATCTCATGAGCAATTTGTATTTAAAGTGAGTGTAAGTACTGCATCGGAGGTCGGTAAAAATGATTTATGTATGCGGCATTGGTATGGGCCGAGCGTGCTAAATCACTTTACAGTCGATCTTCGAGATTGTTCTAAAAGGGCCCCCGACAGTTGAAACCAACTTGAATCGTCAATCGATGCATGGATGTATTTTCAGACGCTGATTCCGAATAACCCCCGATGACATATATAATACTAATAGTGTTAAAATGCTCCTATAGCGAGATATTGGCGAAAAACTGTTTCGATCACGTGATTACGTGATATGACGCGACGGTATTAGGAAGTTAGTCCAATTTCACGTTAGGGTTTCAGCATATGCTTTTGTTAAGCTAAGGATTGGGTTATGGTTAGGGTTATACTTATGAACAGATAAGAGGGTAAGGGTTTCGAATAGTCATTCAGGGCCAGCTAGAGAACGGGTTGAAAAAGTCACGTGACACTGACAGTCGAGTGTAGAGTGATTAATCATCATCCGCATTGGGCAGATCGTGTTTTAAAGAATTATGATTTTTAAACGCTATGATAACTGACCGTGTATGGGCTACACACCGAACCCGATATTTTCGGCCACATACTGTTCAAAGATTTATATCTTTGAAAGGAGCCTTCTGCCTGTATGCTGTACCGTATCGACCGGTAATAATCAGTTTTACATATAGCTATTGTGTTAAATTTTATTAACGTAATCATTTAGAAACCCCCTAGCTCCCTCCCACGTTCAACTTCAATGATTATCATTAAGTAATATGTGAACGACCCATTAAAGACTTATTCTATTTTATTTATAATTTGATTTTGTAGATTTTAAGACCCAAAATAATACAAAATGATCATTTTGTCCACCATTTATCAATATTTCTCATTAAGATTTAAATTTTGCATTCAAATAGGTTTGCACTTGTTTTTTTATTATCCAGACCTCTAGTATAGATCGTCAAGCGCTTAGTTTTTCGATTAGCTGTCGATCTAGAAATAAAGTTTTACAAAACATCAAGTTGAACCTGAGTCAATCAGCGATAATTTTAAGATAGAAACGCACGTGAAATGTTTAGAGTTTACTCGTTAACTATATACAGGGGGGGGGGGGGGCAAAAGTCAGTACCCATACGTTGTCCCAAGATCCTAGGGTATCGGAGAGGAGGAGAACTCTGTTTCAGGCCAAAGACGCATATCATGAGAATCCTACAGAGGAGAGTAGAGAGGTAGTTAAGGAGTGTAAGGATGCACTTGCAGTGAGCTACAAAGAGGTTGAGGAGGAGACTCTTGTTTCTCGGATCAGGCGGGCTGAGGATGCTGCTGACAGGTGCAAGAATAAGGAAAGTTGGGACCTTATTAATGACATAAATGGCAGGAAAAGCAAGCCATGCAGCCTGGTTGATGGAGGTAGTGCAGAGGGGAGATTGAAGAGCTGGAAGGACCACTTCACTAAGCTCCTGGGTCAACCACCATCTGTACCTGACCAGGAAATAGTTATCCAAACCATCCACCCCCAGCAGGATATAGAGACTGGTCTGTTTTGCAGGGAGGAGTTAGCGGAGGCTAGGAAGCAGATCAAGGAGGGTAAGGCCTATGGTGATGATGGCATAGCTCCAGAGATTCTCAAAAGAGTGGACATGGACGACCTGATTCTAGAGTTCTGTAACAGCGCTTTGGTTGATGGAAAAATCCCTGATCAATGGCGGCAACTCAACATCGTGCCTGTGCCAAAGAAAGGAAATCTAACTAAAGTGGATAACTACAGAGGAATCGCTCTTACGTCCATTGTTAGTAAGACCCTGAATCGTATGATCCTTAACAGAATCAAACCAGCGATGGAGAAAATCCTGAGGATCAACCAAAACGGATTTCGGGAGGGACGCAGTACCACCAGCCACATTCTGTGTCTAAGGAGGATCTTGGAGGGGGCTAGAGACAAAAACCTGACCGCCCTTCTCTTGTTCATCGATTTTAAGAAGGCCTTTGATAGCATTCATAGGGGTATATTGATGAAGATACTCCTGGCATATGGGATACCAGAGCCCATTGTTAGGCTGATAGATGCTATGTACAAGGACACCATGGCACGAGTCATCACGGAGGATGGTCTGACTGAAGCTTTCCTTATACTTGCTGGAGTTATGCAGGGAGATACACTGGCGCCCTACCTCTTCGTGATTGTCATTGACTATGTGATGACAACAGCACTTAGAGGCAAAGATCTGGGCTTCACTGTCAACCCCAGAAGAAGCAGGAGATACCCAGCAGTTAAGATGACAGATGTCGACTTTGCTGACGATCTTGCACTGACAACAGACACCGCAGAGCAAGCGCAAGATCTTCTCCTCAGTGTGGAGCTGGCTGCTAACTCCGTTGGACTTCACCTCAACGAGAGTAAGACGAAGTACATCAGAGTCAATCTCTCTGAGTCTGACTCTACCGTCATTAAAGCAGCAAGTGGGCAGGAGATAGAGCAAGTAGATGACTTTGTCTACCTTGGAAGCAGAATAATGAGTGCGGAGAAGGACTTTGATGTTAGGAAAGCAAAGGCATGGGGGGCCTGTCATCACTTAAAGACAACCTGGAAGTCTGGAATGCGCAGGGACTTAAAGATCCGTGTCTTTCGAGCAACGGTTGAGCCCGTACTCCTGTACGGCTCTGAAGCATGGACGATAAGCCAATCCATGACTAAGCGGATCAATGGATGCTACACTAGAATGCTCCGGATGGCCTTGAACATACGTTGGCCACAAATCATCAACAACAGTGATTTATACGGCAACATCCCCAAGCCATCAGCGATGATAGCCTCCAGAAGAATGAGACTGGCTGGACATGTAGCCAGGCATGACGACCTTCTGGCAAACCAACTTCTGTTCTGGGACCCTCAGCATGGATACAGGAGACCGGGGAGGCCCCACCTTACGTTTCTGGACATGCTAAAGAAGGACATCAGCCTTTCCTGTGTTGAAGAGATAAGATCTGTTATGCTTGACCGCGACGTGTGGCGAGGAATTGTAGTTGCTCGGACCAAGAAGCCGACTTAAGTCAGTAAGTCAGTGCTTTGCAGATGGCATACTGTACCTACTTGTTCGAGGATTCCGTCACCAAAATTTGAAAATTCGAATTTTGGGGGCCACGCCAAATCAACATCGAATTGTTTATACTGGTGTTTGTGAACATGTTAGAGACTCTGTTATAACATATTGCAATAGGTCATTTAATCCGGAATATAATCTGAAAAGATGGTGCGAAACGGATTTAAAATGACGAAGTTATCAAGCAATTTGTTTAACTAGGTAGTGCGCCATCGACAGTGAGCCGCGCGTGCCGACTGTAGGATGGTTTTTTAGCGCTAATTTCGGCCAGCACAATTTTCTTCAAACAAATAGATATTGAGTATCCTTCCCGACCTCCAATTGCAACAAAAATTGGTAAGCTTACTCATAGACTTACAAGGAAAGTGTCCGAAAAATTTAAAACATATCCAACCATCAGACATTATGTTACAGCTAAAAGCAGCGTATTTTGCCCCATTTTGATCACTATATCAACTCCGATATCCACCAAATTTTTCGGACAGTTGTGAAAGCCCTATTGGAAGGTCGTCGCCAATTTCCAGAATGATCTCATTTAAGGAACTGAAGATAAATCCGAATAAAACGACAAAAATGGTCAAATTTGGACGAATTTGGTCAAATTACGCGACTTTTACATCTGTTTTTGCTCCAAAAGCCGCGCACCATCAAATATGGCACCTTGGCGAAACTTACTGATCTTTCCAAAAAGGTATGACAAATTTGGTATTGTGAAAATTCTCACAGTCTCTAGAAAACAGTGGTACAAAAATTTTAAAAATCCGAGCAAGTTTATTTTTATCGTGCACCCCCTAGTTTAACTTTATCTCGTTAGCAAAATTGATTGGGTACTCAATGATTGCTCGATTACGACACCGTAATTACTTAATTAGGCTCTCTGCACGGTTCCCAAAATGCGGATCTAGCCTCAACCCAACCACCTGATCACACGTAATGAAAATGCTACATTTTTCTGTCATCTGAGAAGCTAGAACTCTCATTTTTCAGGACAAACGTAATTAAAATGGCCAAACACCATTCAATAAAATTTGGCTCAATCTGACTATCAAAACTATCAAATAAATGCGAAAATGAACCTTCATTTGAAAAAAATGAACCTTCATATTTTTCGATTTGACAAATTCCTCGAACCATGAGTGGTGGTAGTCAGTGGCGTAACGAAAGGCCCTGCTGACCCCGCTGTGCAGGGGGGCGCCGTCTTAGGGGGGCGCCAAATCGTCGTTTGAATGTGGGACAATTTCGAAAACTTAACTAAAGTACTAGCAAAACTGCGCGTTTTGCTCTAGATACACACTTTTTTAGAGATTTTACCGGCGTATTCTCTAAAATCACCTAATTTGTTCAATTTTAGGGAGGGGCACCAAAAGGGGAAGGGGCGCCAACAGGGGGGCGCTTTTTTCGGCAGGGGGGCGCCAACAGGCAACGTTACGCCACTGGTGGTAGTAAGTCATACAAGAAAGAATTATTTCAATTGGGCACTCAGTGACTGATCTATTAAGGCCAACGTATGGGTACTGACTTTTGCCCCCCCCCCCCCCTGTAGTATATAACGATAAAGAGATGTATCACTGTTTGTGGATGTAGTTGGTGCTCTGAGATGTATTCGAGGCAAACTGGTATATTTTCAAAACAAACAACCCTCTTAAACTTTAAAACGCCCTGTACGACCCACCTCTCCATGAGAGCATGTTTACAAGATCTCTTTCACGTGACCAAACTCCTGCAAACTGGGCTCAGTTTGATTGGTCAAATATAACGTCACGTGATATAGGGGGTATTTGGGGGTTATGATTCTCTCCTACGCCTCTTAGTTCATATTTGATATTTTGTTTTCTGTTTGTGATCACTCGTACAGTAACTGGGATTATAACGGAGTTACTGATTGAACACAATGATCAGACTTGTTCTGGGCGCATTTTTAGTGATACTTTATATTAATGGGTAAGATACTGTCTAGTCATTGACTACTGATTCTTTACATTTCGCTGATGCAACCGCTTGTTTAATGAAACGTTGCCTACAGCTACCAAATAATTATGTTGGGTATATGGAATAATCTCCAGTCAAATAAATCGCGTCTCAAAATGATGCCACATTGGTAAACAAGAAAAATGTTCTTTCAAAAACTTCTTCAGAGTTAAAAATGAGCTCGATTTCGAGTTACCGGGAGAGATATCTCTGTCAAAACGAAAAAGTCACTGGTGTACGGACGAGGAGGAGAGTGTCCAAGAGATTGTAACCATGGAAACGAGGACGGTTAATACCCTGGTTGTTGACCGATGCAAGCAGGGCGGTGAAACTGTTCCGTGTCCCCGCATGAGGTTAGAGTCATGTTTTTATCAGGAAATCGTAGCTTATATGCTTAACTTAGTAGAAGTTCACCGTTTTATTTACAGTTAAGAAATTCTTAGACAGGGTGAAGCAATGTCAATGACAATTTAAAATTGGTTCTGAGAACCGGAAGAGATATGAAAAACACGACTACAGATTATAGCCCAAAAGTGGGAACGTAGCAGTTTTTCGCCTGGCTTTGTCTGACTGATATTGTGTTAATTGTTACTTTAATCCGGTTTCAGACGTTCGACTGTGGAGATTCCTAAGACAGAGCAGCGAGTTGTAGTAACAAAACGTGACGTGTGCTGCGCTGGCTGGTCTGGTGACTCTTGCGACACACGTAAGTTTCATTTTTATTAACAATAACATGGGCAAAAAAGTAAAAAACATAGCTTAAATTTAAAACGGAAACTAGAATTGGATGATTGGATAGAAATACTTATACAGTGTATTGATTCACAATGGAAATTCGTTACTGAAATTAATGTGTTTGGCTGCGGCTGTCCACGAGATAAATATATTATCTTATGACTAGTTTTAGTTTTAAACGTGACCTGATGAACGTGACCGCTGTACTGGGAATTATAATAATTATCTAAAATCGAATCTTAGTGTTAAATTCGCACATGTGTCATGCACTGAAAATACGTACGCTCCGCATGCAGTGCATGGAGCGTCAGATTACAAATAATACTAACAGTGGCGTAACGAAAGGCGTTACGGACAGGGCGCCATTTTTCGAATTGTAAGCATTTAATGCGACATGAAAATTATTCCATGTCTTGTCCATCTCAGGTCGGACCGGAAATACTATTCATCAAAAATATTCACAACAATTTTAATTGGGGGACCGCCCAAACATATTTAAGCAAGAAGTGAAATATTTTAACGTTAACCCACATAAAATTAAAATCATTAATTTCAGCGGTGTGCAAGGAGGAGTGTAGAAACGGGGGTTTGTGCTCGGAACCAGGAGTTTGCTCCTGTCCTGAGGGGTTCACTGGTCGTTTTTGTGAGAGGAACGCCCCCGCAGGTTCGTCGGTATCTAATTAAGTAAAGCCAATTGGCATACATGTTCAACTTCACGGCTTTTCTGTTCATGTCCACCTTAACCATCATAGTGTGAATTATTTGAATTCATAATTTTTGACTAAACGTACAATCACAATTACAAATAACTGTTTAAAAATGTGAATTTCACGTGCGTGTCCGATAAGAAAAATAAAAAGATATTTCGAAGACTTAACTTAAATAATGATGGAAATGTCTCAATGTTTCGTTGCAACATCATACTCAAAGTACTATATATACTACCTCAATGTAACACACTTGAATCACGTGACTTAATGATGACGTTTTTGGTTGTGATCATTTAATTACGATTTAATTAAATTGATTAATTTAATTTAATTGCGATCAGAAAAGCACTCTCCTACAATTAATATCATGATTTTGGATATTACAGGCTTCATAAAGGAGAACATAGAAATGAGACAGATGGCAACGATGCATAGATCAAAGCGAGATCACACATCACCTCAACGTAAGCTCAATAAACTTGATTTATTACTTAGTATACATAGTAATATTCTTTTAGTTGTAATATGAAACATTTAGAAAAGCTAAAGTTTTGCGTAGCATACGTGCACAGGTCCAAAAGGGAGTAAACTAATCGAGTCTGTTGTAACCACTATCATCAGTACTGTGTTTTCCAAACTTTTAGTTCGCATTTGTCGGTTCTATACTTTTACTATCCGACTAAAAAGATCCGGTCGTTTCTGCACATCGTGTACCACGTTTCGAATTCTTCGATGAGATTCTCCACTTATCTCAGAATGTTCTAATGAAGGGGAGGTGATTGTGGAAGATTGCAGAACTTGTGCCTGTCATGATGGAGTCTTCGTCTGCCACGAATATACTTGCTCAGGTAAGAAGAATCGGATCAAAAACAGAGAGGATACTCTCTTTAATAATTCCTTTTGTATGTCTCTGTACAAGCCCATATAACGATCGATACGATGTTACTATGCTGCTAAGAGATAGCCCAACCACGTCGGGTGGCACAACTGAGCAAAAGTTTCTTTTATACTTGCTGAAATTCTTAAAAAATTTCCTTGAACGTTTACCAACTGAGTTTGGGCCAATCATGTTGCAGAGAGTTATCAATTAAAGCGAAACGATTGGTGCGGTTTCAGCCGAAACTACCGAATTCGAAGTATTGAGCCCGCAAGATTGTGATAACTAGTAAAACGCAAAAGCGATGCAGCTGTCGATAACTGTTAAAGTTCTGAGAAATTTTAATTTTTGGATTAGAGGTCAGGCCTCGTACAATATCCAATTCGTTCTGGAAGTTATTTGCTTTACGAATATTGTTTCCAGGAACCTGCGCGATATTCGGGCACAGAAACTATGTTACATTTGACGGGAACTCGTTTGAATATTCTGGGACGTGCAGCTACATTGTTGCAAGGGAGTGCTCTCTTGCTCAGTCATTCCAAGTCAGTTACATAATTGCTAATTCTATTAAACGAATTATCGATGGCCTAATATCGTAAGATTAGAAATTTCAACCGTCGCCCACGGCTTTTAAATTCATTATTATCAGTTATCGCCGGGCATAACTCGCGAAAAGCAACTTGATATCGCTTAAGTGCAGTACCGTATTGGTGCTGGTATAGTGGTAGGTAAATGGTAAAAGTAACGGATATCGAATGTTGTACTTCAGGTTATAGTACACATGAACCCTGAGGTTGACATGATAACGAGAATTAAGGAGGTCGAAATAAAGCTCGGTGACAAGTTTCAACTAACACTGCAGAGAATTGATGGAAGTTTCAGAGTTTTGATGCGAGATTACGTTATGGTAAACAGTAGAAACCGTAACGTCTTTGGGCAGTATCCAAGTAGCCCGACATGTGTTCCCGAACAGGTGTTCCCGAACAGGTGTACCCTAACCACAACCTTAACCCTAACCCTAACCCTAACCCTAACCCTAACCCTAAACCTGTTCGAAAACACCTGTTCGGGAACACATATCGGGCTACTTGGATACTATCTTGACACGATTTACGTTTAACTATCACATTATATTTGATTCACAAAATGATAGACAATTCAACTGCAAAACCGAAGTAAAATGAGATTATGAAACAATGATCATTCTGATCTACTCAACATTCACCACTTTGCTAAAATTGAAATCAATTTAGCAGCTATCGGCTTATTATTCGAGTATCTTGAACGTTCAGTATATCTTACAGTAGCTTAACTGTTTAAATTTGACAAAGTTATATAAATTACCCTCACTATAAATTCAAATTCAGCGGAGGGAGGTTGTATGGAATTTTTCCTCTGGTTTTCGCAGCTACGGCAGTACTGTTGTGTCTCTAACCAACTTCAACATTCTCGTTCACGCAACTGGTTAGCTACGCCTCTTTTTTTTCTTGTGAAAATTATACTGAGAACAGTGCCTGATATTTCTAATGGATCTCATATTTCATGTACATTTTGATGATAGCGAGTTGCGATAGTCTAGTTTGATCTTTAAGGTAAAATTCAAATCATTTTATCACGGGGATTATATCTGATGTCTTATCATTTCCTCCACAGATCTGAGTGTGAGCTGGGACGGAGGCGGTAATCTTCTGGTAACGGTCTCCAAGGAACACGAGGGTCACTTGTGTGGTATGTGCGGTGACTTCGACGGTGACCCGAGCGATGACTTAGTAAATAAGTTTGGCACGATAACGACGAACATTGAGGAGATAGCTGAAAATTGGAACAACGATGTAAGTGTACATTTTATTTTCGCTCAGTGCTGACTGCTGACTCACTTTCATAAAATTTATAAAGACTCGTGAATAGAGAATAAAAGAAATGCTTGAGAATCATGAATGTCAATCCCATCGAAATTCATGATGTTCCTATACTACTATTAGATTCGTTTGTTACATCGATCTAGAATAATAGATTTGATAACGAAGTTTAACCTTAGGAAAAGTGTGAAAGCATTTCAATCATCCCACCTGCCTGCCCTGCTGATCGCCTCGAATTCGCCAAACACGACTGTGAACAGATCAAAACCTACGACACTGAGTGTTGGGACATTGAAAGCCATTACAACAATTGTGTTTCTTCCGTCTGCAACTGTCCGGAGGAAAGGTCTCCGACAGAGTGTGCTTGCTCTTCTCTTGCCTCTTTCTTCGCCAGCAAGTGCCACTCTGATATCCACTGGCTACCTGAGTCGGTCTGCTCGGATCAGTGTGAGTGTGGGGGATATTGTCTATATTACTTTTTGCTTTTGTTTGTGTATTCAAGAGTATTGAGTATAGTTCCAGACAGTTTCATGGAATGGCCGGTTGTCCTTCTAGATAAATATTCCAAGAATGACACTTGCATTTAAATCTAACTTGATCGGCTTACTTTCTGCGGAATTCTTGGAAAAAAGATCCCCCTAAGGAGGTCTCACCCCAAGTAACCTGACCCTGTAATCCCAACAACCTCTAACTTCTAACCTGAACATCTCACAGTTTCGTGTGCTGGTGGGTCGGAGTACCATTCCGTATTCTCCGGCTGTGAGAAGTCCTGCTCGAATTATTATCTCGACCTGGGCTGTTCCCACACCACGTACGGGTGTTTCTGTCAAGAGGGCAAGGTCCGGGACGCTTACGGTGGTTGTGTCACCCCGGAGGATTGCACGTGTTTGTACAATGACGAGATATTTACTTCAGGGGAAACTAGGGATGTAGACTGTAGAACTTGGTGGGTTTAGTAATATCCGTCATAATATTCGTCGTAATTCCGTCATATTTCCGTCATATTTCCGTCATGCATCGTTTTTAGATTAAAACTAAAGCACAAGGATCCATAATATTTCCTCAACTGAATTAAAACAGTATGATATCATCCCTCACCCAGCTACTGTGAGTACGGAAAGTGGACGTGCAGAGATAAGCCTTGTCTAGGTCAGTGCCACCAATCCGGTCAGGGTTTCTACCAGACATTCGACAAGATGATGTACACTTTCTACAGTTCCTGCGAACACATCTTGGCTACGCAATGTGATTCCATGACCCATTCAATCCCGATGATCCTGAGTTTCGTGTCACTTCCAGCCGGTAATAATTCCGATTATAAAAAACTCTTGAAATGTATCATAAAAGTAATCACATCGCATTTGTAATTATCAAACGGAAGAACACCAAAAAATTTTCTCCTTACTAAGGAAGACATGTTGTCAAATAAAATGTGAAATGGAAATAATTAAAATTAAGCCACACTAAACTTCAGGGACCTAGAAGCGTGTACCACGTCAGGGCACTGTCCAGGCAGAGTGGTTATCGTAAAGATTAGCAGATGTCACGTTACAATAAACAACCTTCACCATATCACCCTCTCCTGTCCCTCCATGGGCATTGAAAACCGTAAATTGACAAATATTTTCATAAAAACACTGTGCATAATTTGTCACTTTTCTCACGTAATGCATTTGTGATGATTTCAACAAAATGTTTGTTTTGATGAATTGAACGTTTTTTAAAGCCAGTAATGTTAACACCTCACTTCAGAAGAAGAAGAGATCCCTTATTCGAACGACCACATGGTTGTTAGAAATGGAGCGTCCCACTCGGTCGAGGTGATGAGTCTCCACTCTGGTAGTAATCTAATGACGGTACTGTGGTCTGAGTCTGGGGAGGTTACCGTGTCCATGCCTAGCTCCTTGCAGGGCAAAACTTGTGGACTTTGTGGAAACTTCGACGATATTGAGTACAATTTTCTTTAGCTTAATCTAACTCACGCCCCTCTCTCTTTATCCTTTTACGTTGACCAAGTCGAATCTGGCTGCAAACTTTCGTTTTTCAACAATTGGAGTTTCATCATAAAGTTCCAGTGAACTCTTAAAATGCCTCTTTTGGGTTAACAGTAATTTCAAATAAACGAAAACAAAACATCACGGACTGAACTAACCACAACACTTCAGAGCTAACGACATGACAGCAGCCGGGCACGCTTCAGCCACTAACCTTGATACTTTTGTTAAAAGTTGGGCTGGACCCTCCTGTGAAGCGGAACCTTGGTTTGATAAATCCGTCAATCCGGTTAGTTGGTAGTTTTGATGAAATTAGGAACTTATTTTATTCGTTCTTACTTTTTTATTTAACTTATTATGATTCATGAGGATCCATGAGATTTTCCAACAAATTTCCTTCCAGGCTCAAGAATACCTGGCTAAAGAACAGTGCTCTATGCTCTTGCAGAATTCTGGATTTACAGCGTGTCACCAGTATGTTTTACCCACTGACTACTACAACGTAAGTAATCGTTATTAGAACATTGGAATTTGAGTCGCGGAGAGCTGAAATTCGAATGTGTCCTACCGTTAGGACATATTCAAACTTTTCATTGCATCAAATTTTTCTCCGGATACACTCCTTTCACTGAACTCACTGATAGGTCACTGGTCACTGTTTTGAACTTATTACGGAATAGCACTATCAGGTATATTCGACTTTAGAAATCATACTGAGGATCTTTAAATTGTGGCATAATTTAGTCTCAACTTTTAACTTTCCAATGTGATCCAAGCCTTAACCTTCAATTTCTAATCTTGAAGCTTGAGTGGATTAGAAAATCTGACGTAAGTTATAACAGTGTACAAAGATAGCGAACTTATTGTTTCAGGCGTGTGTAGTGTCAGTTACACACTGTGTGGGAGACAAGGAGAAGTGCTTCTGTGAGGCAGTCACAGCTTACGAGACAGTCTGTGCTTCCAACATAGCGGCCTCTCTTCACTGGAGATCTGGTACAAGCTGTGGTAAGTTCGAATTTGTTCTTATTTAAAAGTGACCCAGACCGCGCGTTACAGTAAGTTACCAGACCACCTCCCGGCTCCCTCTTTCAGCCATATAAGTTGGGCACTTTAAAAGTTTCAGTGTTATACCACGATTGTGGCTTCAAATATATTCTTACAACTACTTATTCACTTTGGCCGAACCTGAGAACTGAAAATAAGAATCTTGTTGTTGTATGTTGTGTTGTTATAGATTTGTCGCTTCTATTATAAAAATTTAATAATAAACTTTCACAGAGGTACTCTGTGATCGTGAAGACCAGGTATATCAGAACTGTGGAAGGTGCGCGCCCACGTGCAAAGACCTGGCCGACAACTCGGACTGTTCACAAGAGTGTACTAAAGGGTGCGCATGTCCGGAGGTGAGCTTATCCAATAATCTACATTATTTACGTTTTTTCTGGGAGATTTGTTAGTCCACTCGGAGAAGCAGTTCGATTAATAGCGATTTTTTGTTGTTTTAAGATCTATCTTTATCTTCTTATCAATTAAACTGCACAAAATCAATTTTGTTTAATTCAATTAAAGTTTTTAAATGTTTATAATTCCAGGGTCAGGCTGATCACGAAGGAGTATGTGTGAAAGTTTCTCAGTGCCCTTGTATTTACAAAGATTCACTTTACGTTAGTAGCTATACTTTATTTTTTCTTAGTTAATCATGCTGGGATTTAGAATTTAACGAATTTTTATTTACAAGTTTTTGGATTATATATGTCTTACCCTACGACTCTGAGTCAAAAACGTAACCGTGGAACTAGTTAAAAACATACAACTTAATATAAGTTTAAAGCTAACTGTCGGAACAAAAATCTGTTTGTTTGTTTAAAAAACTGAGAACTGAGTGGAGACTCTCACTTTGTCCCCCCTTTGTCCCAAAGCATCAAGTATAACAGTCGGAATGTTCAGAGCGAATTTCTCTCCAAGCTAACTTTTATAATCTCTGCAGGAAGCAAATGAGGTGTTTTCTGAAGGGGCATGTGAAGAATGTAAGTGTGAGGGTGGCCAGGTGATATGCCACGAAAAAACAGAGTGTCTCATACCACTCCAAGAAGAAGTTGACGGTGGGTTTTTTAATAGATAATTGATTAGATAATTAAACTTGACAAAATTATTAAGAATAAATATCCCCATAGCAGTGGCACTGGACACAGTGTCCATATCCCGACTTTGTAAGAATAACAAGTTACTCGTTGCAAGATGAAGATTCACAGCGATCTGCCCCAGGACCCCTTTTCTAATAGTATACTATTTTTTAGCTCCATTGACGTCGTGCCCCAGTGGTTCAGGTCCAGAATATTTCATCCCCAAAATTCTTGCCCCAGAGCATTGTGCCCAGCACCTCGTGGCATGTAACTGGATGAATCAAGTTGACATGTTATTATTTCCAGGATCTTGTGAACACGAAGGTGGGACTGTTCCTAATGGACTGTCGTTTATGAGGGTGAGTTTTGGAAGAGCTGGTATAATAAACCTTGTTCTTGTTTCTATCTTTGATTTAAGTTTTGATTTAACTCCTTTCATGATCTTAAGTTTATCATAATAAAGCAACATTGTAGCACTATAAATATAATAAAGGAGAACCCCACGCCCTGTAGGATTGCAACAAGTGTGAATGTTTGAACAGCAAGCTGACCTGTGACACCGCCATCTGTCCCGGAGAGTGCTTCGCTAGCGGAGACCCCCACTACAAGACATATGACGGACTAATGTACGAGTTTCAGGGTACTTGTGGGTATGTTCTCTCTCAGAACGTTCCCGGTCAAACTGTTGAGGGTAACTCATTCTCTGTGAGTATCTTAAGTGCGAGTTTTATTTAACAGTCTTTTTAAAAGTTGCAACCTGCCAAAACCAAGTTTTTTGACAAGCCAATTTGTTGATGCTTTCGTGAAATTTGGATACCCTATTACACGTGATACGGCACGTGATACGGCACGTGATACGACACGTGATACGGCACGTGATACGGCACGTGATACGGCACGTGATACGGCACGTGATACGGCACGTGATACGGCACGTGATACGGCACGTGATACGGCACGTGATACGGCACGTGATACGGCACGTGATACGGCACGTGATACGGCACGTGATACGGCACGTGATACGGCACGTGATACGGCACGTGATACAGCACGTGAGACGGCACGTGATACGGCACGTGATACGGCACGTGATACGACACGTGATACGGCACGTGATACGGCACGTGATATGGCTGTGTACCTATACGTGTAACTTTACAGGTGAACGTGCAGAACAGAGAATGCGGCAGCTCTGGAGTGACTTGTACCAAGGAGGTATCAGTCAGTATCACAGAGAGAAAAAGCAGTGAAAAAGGAGAGACAACGAGACAGTGACCTTCACTTTGATCAAGGACCAGTCTATTACAAGAAACGGGAAGGTCATTAGAATTCCATATAAGGACAGATCCGTTGGTATGATGCTTATTTGTGGATTTAAAACTGCTGTTCTTAATCGTTAATTTTCTTGAACTTTTGATTTAATTCCAATCTATTTGTAGATTTGTGAATTTCAATATTTTCATATTACTAGCCGTCTTTCATCTCTTCCATTATATCAAATAGGGTAAATTTTCACATTGCCTGGTTATCATTATTCTTCATAGTCAGATTTCCACAACTCCAAACGTTTATTTTTCTAACGTTGAAATAATAAAAACACCGCCTCCCAGATGTAGTGGTTGATAAAGTTGGGTTCTACCTGATGGTCGGCTGGTCGGGTGGGGTCCGGGTTCTGTGGAACGGAGGTACTCAAGTGCACGTCCGAGTACAACCAGGCTGGTCTGGAAAACTCCAGGGGCTCTGTGGAAATTACAATCTCAATAAGAAGGACGATTATCTAAGCCAGGATGGGATGATCACTGACACTGCTTATCCTTTCGCTAACTCGTGGAAGAACTTGGAGAATTGTCCTGATGTAGAGAAGAACCCAGAGACCCCTTGTGATATCCATCCTGTGAGAAGGAGCTTCGCCGAGACCATGTGCTCGTGAGTACTGATTTTAGATTAGATAATTACTGATTGCATACTGATTGTATTTGTGGCAATGAGGCAAGTATAAGTTAAAATGGACGAGTATAGGTTAAAATGGGAAAGGACGGGTTCTCTATCAATTTTAGTGTGTTGTAACAGAATATAGTTGCAGCCTATAATCATTGAAGTTCTTAACTTAGTTGTAAATTCTGAATTTATTAAAACTGCACTAGACTGTGAAGTGACGTGCGATCCTCACTCGCGAACGGTTAAAAACGAACAATCAGTAAAATATTATTCTCCGTTTAAAAGAACTAGCCTGACAATGAACGTTCCGGTTCACCAAAATGGAGAGTAGAAAGATAAAACTGTAAAATGTTCTCTGCACACGCTGTAGATCTACACGAATATCATGAACTCCGCTAGTAATTTATCTAACAAAGGCCTTAAAAACAGCAAAAACTAAAGTTTTGACAAAAATGAACATCACCACCGTGTTCTAATCAGCAATTTGAAATGCAGCAGCTACACTTCAGTTAGAACAGTATTGTATCAGAAATATATTTATGTTGGTTTTGACCAATTTTAACCGAAAAATGATAAAATAATGCCAACCTTTTCAAGGTTGATAAAACAGGACCTGTTCGCCAGCTGTCACCCTTTAGTCCCTCCTGGTCCCTACTACGAAAACTGTCTGTTCGACGCGTGCGGGTGTGATTTAGGAGGTGACTGCACGTGTTACTGTGAGGCTATAGAGACGTACGTGCATCAGTGCACGTCGCGTGGCGTGACTATTAACTGGAGGGTTCAGACTGACGAGTGCCGTGAGTATAGATACAGATATTGTGCAATGCTTTGGTTGCTTCTTTAAACTTTTCAAATAATTGAAAAGAAATTGGTTCCTACAAGGGATTAACTGTCGATGATGTTTTTTCGTCCCATGTTATCTCTGGTGTTTTTGACCAAAATTCACAGAGGTGATGTGTGAATGGCCTAAACAATACATCGAATGTGGACCGGCCTGTCACGACATCTGCGGAGAGAAAATCTGTAGGAACTACACAAACAACGAATGCTTTGAACAGTGCGCCTGTCCAGAGGGACTGGTGGAAAATGAGGAAGGAAAATGTGGAGAACCTGACTGCAGTAAGTTGTACACGTAGTGATAACAGCAAATTTTCATCGAAAAACCATTGCAGATATTTTTCAAAACGAAACGGTTCAGAAATAAGTTCAAACTTTACATTCGCAACATTTCAGCAAAGGGAGTAACAGCTAGTCTAACATCTACATCATCTACAGCTACAGCAACTTCTTCAACCACCACTCCATCAAGCTCATCCAGTACAACACCACCTTCCAGTTCATCAAGCACAACATCATCCTCAACAACAACGCCTTCTAGCTCATCTAGCACAACAACTTCTTCAACCACCACTCCATCAAGCTCATCCAGTACAACAACACCTTCCAGTTCATCAAGCACAACATCATCCTCAACAACAACGCCTTCTAGCTCATCTAGCACAACAACTTCTTCAACCACCACTCCATCAAGCTCATCCAGTACAACAACACCTTCCAGTTCATCAAGCACAACATCATCCTCAACAACAACGCCTTCTAGCTCATCTAGCACAACAACTTCTTCAACCACCACTCCATCAAGCTCATCCAGTACAACAACACCTTCCAGTTCATCAAGCACAACATCATCCTCAACAACAACGCCTTCTAGCTCATCTAGCACAACAACTTCTTCAACCACTACACCAACCAGTTCATCAAGCACGACCTCAGCGAGTACCACTCCAACAGAATCGTCTACTTCTCAAACTTCAACCTCATCATCGACATCATCAAGTTCTACTTCAACAACATCACAATCCTCAACAACCACAAGAACACCAACACCTTCAGTCTCTTCATCATCATCAACAACAACTCCATCGAGCTCATCAAGCACAACATCATCCTCAACAACAACGCCTTCTAGCTCATCTAGCACAACAACTTCTTCAACCACCACTCCATCAAGCTCATCCAGTACAACAACACCTTCCAGTTCATCAAGCACAACATCATCCTCAACAACAACGCCTTCTAGCTCATCTAGCACAACAACTTCTTCAACCACCACTCCATCAAGCTCATCCAGTACAACAACACCTTCCAGTTCATCAAGCACAACATCATCCTCAACAACAACGCCTTCTAGCTCATCTAGCACAACAACTTCTTCAACCACCACTCCATCAAGCTCATCCAGTACAACAACACCTTCCAGTTCATCAAGCACAACATCATCCTCAACAACAACGCCTTCTAGCTCATCTAGCACAACAACTTCTTCAACCACCACTCCATCAAGCTCATCCAGTACAACAACACCTTCCAGTTCATCAAGCACAACATCATCCTCAACAACAACGCCTTCTAGCTCATCTAGCACAACAACTTCTTCAACCACCACTCCATCAAGCTCATCCAGTACAACAACACCTTCCAGTTCATCAAGCACAACATCATCCTCAACAACAACGCCTTCTAGCTCATCTAGCACAACAACTTCTTCAACCACCACTCCATCAAGCTCATCCAGTACAACAACACCTTCCAGTTCATCAAGCACAACATCATCCTCAACAACAACGCCTTCTAGCTCATCTAGCACAACAACTTCTTCAACCACCACTCCATCAAGCTCATCCAGTACAACAACACCTTCCAGTTCATCAAGCACAACATCATCCTCAACAACAACGCCTTCTAGCTCATCTAGCACAACAACTTCTTCAACCACTACACCAACCAGTTCATCAAGCACGACCTCAGCGAGTACCACTCCAACAGAATCGTCTACTTCTCAAACTTCAACCTCATCATCGACATCATCAAGTTCTACTTCAACAACATCACAATCCTCAACAACCACAAGAACACCAACACCTTCAGTCTCTTCATCATCATCAACAACAACTCCATCGAGCTCATCAAGCACAACATCATCCTCAACAACAACGCCTTCTAGCTCATCTAGCACAACAACTTCTTCAACCACCACTCCATCAAGCTCATCCAGTACAACAACACCTTCCAGTTCATCAAGCACAACATCATCCTCAACAACAACGCCTTCTAGCTCATCTAGCACAACAACTTCTTCAACCACCACTCCATCAAGCTCATCCAGTACAACAACACCTTCCAGTTCATCAAGCACAACATCATCCTCAACAACAACGCCTTCTAGCTCATCTAGCACAACAACTTCTTCAACCACCACTCCATCAAGCTCATCCAGTACAACAACACCTTCCAGTTCATCAAGCACAACATCATCCTCAACAACAACGCCTTCTAGCTCATCTAGCACAACAACTTCTTCAACCACCACTCCATCAAGCTCATCCAGTACAACACCACCTTCCAGTTCATCAAGCACAACATCATCCTCAACAACAACGCCTTCTAGCTCATCTAGCACAACAACTTCTTCAACCACTACACCAACCAGTTCATCAAGCACGACCTCAGCGAGTACCACTCCAACAGAATCGTCTACTTCTCAAACTTCAACCTCATCATCGACATCATCAAGTTCTACTTCAACAACATCACAATCCTCAACAACCACAAGAACACCAACACCTTCAGTCTCTTCATCATCATCAACAACAACTCCATCGAGCTCATCAAGCACAACATCATCCTCAACAACAACGCCTTCTAGCTCATCTAGCACAACAACTTCTTCAACCACCACTCCATCAAGCTCATCCAGTACAACAACACCTTCCAGTTCATCAAGCACAACATCATCCTCAACAACAACGCCTTCTAGCTCATCTAGCACAACAACTTCTTCAACCACCACTCCATCAAGCTCATCCAGTACAACAACACCTTCCAGTTCATCAAGCACAACATCATCCTCAACAACAACGCCTTCTAGCTCATCTAGCACAACAACTTCTTCAACCACCACTCCATCAAGCTCATCCAGTACAACAACACCTTCCAGTTCATCAAGCACAACATCATCCTCAACAACAACGCCTTCTAGCTCATCTAGCACAACAACTTCTTCAACCACCACTCCATCAAGCTCATCCAGTACAACAACACCTTCCAGTTCATCAAGCACAACATCATCCTCAACAACAACGCCTTCTAGCTCATCTAGCACAACAACTTCTTCAACCACCACTCCATCAAGCTCATCCAGTACAACAACACCTTCCAGTTCATCAAGCACAACATCATCCTCAACAACAACGCCTTCTAGCTCATCTAGCACAACAACTTCTTCAACCACCACTCCATCAAGCTCATCCAGTACAACAACACCTTCCAGTTCATCAAGCACAACATCATCCTCAACAACAACGCCTTCTAGCTCATCTAGCACAACAACTTCTTCAACCACCACTCCATCAAGCTCATCCAGTACAACAACACCTTCCAGTTCATCAAGCACAACATCATCCTCAACAACAACGCCTTCTAGCTCATCTAGCACAACAACTTCTTCAACCACCACTCCATCAAGCTCATCCAGTACAACAACACCTTCCAGTTCATCAAGCACAACATCATCCTCAACAACAACGCCTTCTAGCTCATCTAGCACAACAACTTCTTCAACCACCACTCCATCAAGCTCATCCAGTACAACAACACCTTCCAGTTCATCAAGCACAACATCATCCTCAACAACAACGCCTTCTAGCTCATCTAGCACAACAACTTCTTCAACCACCACTCCATCAAGCTCATCCAGTACAACAACACCTTCCAGTTCATCAAGCACAACATCATCCTCAACAACAACGCCTTCTAGCTCATCTAGCACAACAACTTCTTCAACCACCACTCCATCAAGCTCATCCAGTACAACAACACCTTCCAGTTCATCAAGCACAACATCATCCTCAACAACAACGCCTTCTAGCTCATCTAGCACAACAACTTCTTCAACCACCACTCCATCAAGCTCATCCAGTACAACAACACCTTCCAGTTCATCAAGCACAACATCATCCTCAACAACAACGCCTTCTAGCTCATCTAGCACAACAACTTCTTCAACCACCACTCCATCAAGCTCATCCAGTACAACAACACCTTCCAGTTCATCAAGCACAACATCATCCTCAACAACAACGCCTTCTAGCTCATCTAGCACAACAACTTCTTCAACCACCACTCCATCAAGCTCATCCAGTACAACAACACCTTCCAGTTCATCAAGCACAACATCATCCTCAACAACAACGCCTTCTAGCTCATCTAGCACAACAACTTCTTCAACCACCACTCCATCAAGCTCATCCAGTACAACAACACCTTCCAGTTCATCAAGCACAACATCATCCTCAACAACAACGCCTTCTAGCTCATCTAGCACAACAACTTCTTCAACCACCACTCCATCAAGCTCATCCAGTACAACAACACCTTCCAGTTCATCAAGCACAACATCATCCTCAACAACAACGCCTTCTAGCTCATCTAGCACAACAACTTCTTCAACCACCACTCCATCAAGCTCATCCAGTACAACAACACCTTCCAGTTCATCAAGCACAACATCATCCTCAACAACAACGCCTTCTAGCTCATCTAGCACAACAACTTCTTCAACCACCACTCCATCAAGCTCATCCAGTACAACAACACCTTCCAGTTCATCAAGCACAACATCATCCTCAACAACAACGCCTTCTAGCTCATCTAGCACAACAACTTCTTCAACCACCACTCCATCAAGCTCATCCAGTACAACAACACCTTCCAGTTCATCAAGCACAACATCATCCTCAACAACAACGCCTTCTAGCTCATCTAGCACAACAACTTCTTCAACCACCACTCCATCAAGCTCATCCAGTACAACAACACCTTCCAGTTCATCAAGCACAACATCATCCTCAACAACAACGCCTTCTAGCTCATCTAGCACAACAACTTCTTCAACCACCACTCCATCAAGCTCATCCAGTACAACAACACCTTCCAGTTCATCAAGCACAACATCATCCTCAACAACAACGCCTTCTAGCTCATCTAGCACAACAACTTCTTCAACCACCACTCCATCAAGCTCATCCAGTACAACAACACCTTCCAGTTCATCAAGCACAACATCATCCTCAACAACAACGCCTTCTAGCTCATCTAGCACAACAACTTCTTCAACCACCACTCCATCAAGCTCATCCAGTACAACAACACCTTCCAGTTCATCAAGCACAACATCATCCTCAACAACAACGCCTTCTAGCTCATCTAGCACAACAACTTCTTCAACCACCACTCCATCAAGCTCATCCAGTACAACAACACCTTCCAGTTCATCAAGCACAACATCATCCTCAACAACAACGCCTTCTAGCTCATCTAGCACAACAACTTCTTCAACCACCACTCCATCAAGCTCATCCAGTACAACAACACCTTCCAGTTCATCAAGCACAACATCATCCTCAACAACAACGCCTTCTAGCTCATCTAGCACAACAACTTCTTCAACCACCACTCCATCAAGCTCATCCAGTACAACAACACCTTCCAGTTCATCAAGCACAACATCATCCTCAACAACAACGCCTTCTAGCTCATCTAGCACAACAACTTCTTCAACCACCACTCCATCAAGCTCATCCAGTACAACAACACCTTCCAGTTCATCAAGCACAACATCATCCTCAACAACAACGCCTTCTAGCTCATCTAGCACAACAACTTCTTCAACCACCACTCCATCAAGCTCATCCAGTACAACAACACCTTCCAGTTCATCAAGCACAACATCATCCTCAACAACAACGCCTTCTAGCTCATCTAGCACAACAACTTCTTCAACCACCACTCCATCAAGCTCATCCAGTACAACAACACCTTCCAGTTCATCAAGCACAACATCATCCTCAACAACAACGCCTTCTAGCTCATCTAGCACAACAACTTCTTCAACCACCACTCCATCAAGCTCATCCAGTACAACAACACCTTCCAGTTCATCAAGCACAACATCATCCTCAACAACAACGCCTTCTAGCTCATCTAGCACAACAACTTCTTCAACCACCACTCCATCAAGCTCATCCAGTACAACAACACCTTCCAGTTCATCAAGCACAACATCATCCTCAACAACAACGCCTTCTAGCTCATCTAGCACAACAACTTCTTCAACCACCACTCCATCAAGCTCATCCAGTACAACAACACCTTCCAGTTCATCAAGCACAACATCATCCTCAACAACAACGCCTTCTAGCTCATCTAGCACAACAACTTCTTCAACCACCACTCCATCAAGCTCATCCAGTACAACAACACCTTCCAGTTCATCAAGCACAACATCATCCTCAACAACAACGCCTTCTAGCTCATCTAGCACAACAACTTCTTCAACCACCACTCCATCAAGCTCATCCAGTACAACAACACCTTCCAGTTCATCAAGCACAACATCATCCTCAACAACAACGCCTTCTAGCTCATCTAGCACAACAACTTCTTCAACCACCACTCCATCAAGCTCATCCAGTACAACAACACCTTCCAGTTCATCAAGCACAACATCATCCTCAACAACAACGCCTTCTAGCTCATCTAGCACAACAACTTCTTCAACCACCACTCCATCAAGCTCATCCAGTACAACAACACCTTCCAGTTCATCAAGCACAACATCATCCTCAACAACAACGCCTTCTAGCTCATCTAGCACAACAACTTCTTCAACCACCACTCCATCAAGCTCATCCAGTACAACAACACCTTCCAGTTCATCAAGCACAACATCATCCTCAACAACAACGCCTTCTAGCTCATCTAGCACAACAACTTCTTCAACCACCACTCCATCAAGCTCATCCAGTACAACAACACCTTCCAGTTCATCAAGCACAACATCATCCTCAACAACAACGCCTTCTAGCTCATCTAGCACAACAACTTCTTCAACCACCACTCCATCAAGCTCATCCAGTACAACAACACCTTCCAGTTCATCAAGCACAACATCATCCTCAACAACAACGCCTTCTAGCTCATCTAGCACAACAACTTCTTCAACCACCACTCCATCAAGCTCATCCAGTACAACAACACCTTCCAGTTCATCAAGCACAACATCATCCTCAACAACAACGCCTTCTAGCTCATCTAGCACAACAACTTCTTCAACCACCACTCCATCAAGCTCATCCAGTACAACAACACCTTCCAGTTCATCAAGCACAACATCATCCTCAACAACAACGCCTTCTAGCTCATCTAGCACAACAACTTCTTCAACCACCACTCCATCAAGCTCATCCAGTACAACAACACCTTCCAGTTCATCAAGCACAACATCATCCTCAACAACAACGCCTTCTTACCTAGCTCATCTAGCACAACAACTTCTTCAACACCACTCCTTCAAGCTCAACCAGAACAACAACACCTTCCAGTTCATCAAGCACAACAACATCCTCGACAACAACGCCTTCTAGCTCATCTAGCACTACAACTTCTTCAAACCACCACCCATCAAGCTCACCAGTACACCAACACACTTCCATTCATCAAGCAACAACATCATCCTCAACAACAACGCCTTCTAGCTCATCTCAGCACAACAACTTCTTCACCACCACTCCATCAAGCTCAATCCAGTACAACATCACCTTCCCTTCCATCAAGCACAACATCATCCACAACACCAACGCCTTCTAGCTCATCTAGCACAACAACTTCTTCAACCACCACTCCATCCAGCTCCTCCATACAACAACACCTCCATTCATCAAGCACTACATCATCCTCAACAACACGCCTATCTAGCTCATTAGCACAACAAATTCTTCAACACCACTCCATCAACTCATCCAGTACAACCAACACCTTCCAGTTCATCAAGCACAACATCAACCTCAACAACAACGCCTTCTAGCTCATCTAGCACCCCAACTCTTCAACCACACTCTCCATCAAGCTCATCTCAGTCCAACAACACCTTCCTGTTCATCAAGCACAACAATCATCCTCTCAACAACCCCTTCTTAAGCTCATCTACACAACAACTTCTTCACCCCACTCCATCAACTCATCCAGTACAACAACACCTACCCAGTTTCATCAAGCACAACATCATCCTCAACAACAACGCCTTCTAGCTCATCTAGCCACCACAACTTTTTCAACCACCACTCCATCCAAGCTCATCCAGTAAACAACCACACCTTCCAGTTCCTCAAGCACAACAATCATCCTCAACAACCATGCCATCTAGCTCATCTAGCACAACTACTTCTGTCAACCAACCACTCCAGTCAAGCTCATCCAGTACAACAACACCTTCCATATCATCAGCACAACATCATCCTCAACAACACGCCTTCTACTCATCTAGCACAACAACTTCTTCAACCACCACTCCATCAAGCTCATCCAGTACAACAACACCTTCCAGTTCATCAAGCACAACATTCATCCCTCAACAACAACGCCTTCCTAGCTCATCAGCACACCACTTCTTCAACCACCACTCCATCAAGCTCATCACTGATAACAACACCTTTCACAACACCTTCCAGTTCCATCAAGCACAACATCATCCTCAACAACAACGCCTTCTAGCTCATCTAGCATCATACAACTTCTTCCATCCACTACACCAACCAGTTCATCAAGCACGACCTCAGCGAGTACCCTCCAACATAATCTTCTACTTCGCAACTTCAACCCTCTCTTCGACATCAACAAGTTTCTACTCACAACAACATCACAATCCTCAACAACCACAAGAACACCAACACCTTTCAGTCTCTTCATCAGCATCAACAACAACTCCATCGAGCTCATCAAGCACAACATCATCCTCAACAACAACGCCTTCTAGCTCATCGAGCAAACAACTTCTTCAATCCACCACTCCATCTAGGCCATCCAGTACAACAACACCTTCCAGTTCATCAAGCACAACTTCATCCTCAACAACCAACGCTTCTAGCCATCTAGCACAACAACTTCTTCAACCACCATCGCCATCAAGCTCATCCAGTACAACAACACCTGCCAGTTCATCAAGCACAACATCATCCTCAACACAACGCCTTCTAGCTCATCTACACAACACCCACTTCAACCACCTCCACTCCATCAAGCTCATCCAGTACAACAACACCTTCCAGTTTTCATCAAGCACAAACATACATCCACAACACCAACGCCTTCTAGCTCACTAGCACAACAACTTCTTCATCCACCACTCCATCAAGCTCATCCAGTACAACAACACCTTCCATTCATCAATCACAACATCATCCCCAACAACAACGCCCTTCTAGCTCATCTAGCAAACACCTTCTTCACCACCACTCCATCAAGCTCATCCAGTACCACAACACCTTCCAGTTCATCAAGCACAACATCATCCTCAACAACAACGCTTTCTACACATCTAGCACAACAACTACCCTTCAACCACCACTCCATCAAGCTCAAACCAGTACAACAACACCTTCCAGTTCATCAAGCACAACATCATCCTCAAACAAACCAACGGCCTTCTAGCTCCTCTAGCACAACAACTTCTTCGACCACCACTCCTATCAAGCTGCTACCCAGTACAAAAACACCTTCCAGTTCATCAAGCACAACACATCCTAAAACAAAAAACCCCTTTAGTCATTAGCCAACAATTCTTCAACCACCCCATCAAGTACCCGTACAACAACACCTTCCATTTCATCAAGCACAAATCATCCTCAAAAAAAGCCTTCTAGCTCTCTAGCACAACAATTCTTCAACCCCCCCCCCTCAAGTATCCAGTCAACAAATTTCCCATTCATCAAGCACAACATCACCCCCAAACAACAACCTTCTAGTCATCTAGCAAAAACTTTTAAACCACCACTCCATAAAGCTCTCCAGCAAAACCCCTTCAGTTATCAAGCAAAACTCTCTTTCCCAACAACAACCCTCTGCAATCTCCCAAAAATTCTTCACCACCTCCTAAAATTCCCCTTACAAAAACCCCTTTCCAGTCATCAAGCAAACATCACCTCAACAAAAAACCCCTTCTGCTCTTTAAAACAACTTCTTCAACCCCCACCCATCAAGTCATCGTAAAAACAACCCCTTTCCGTTATCAAGCAAAATATCCTCAAAAACAAGCCTTCAGTATCTAGACAACAACTTCTTCAACCCCCATCCATCAAGCTCATCCATTTAAAACAACACCTTCCATTTCATCAAGCACAAATCACCTAAACAACACCCCTTTAGTATTAGCACAAAAATTCCAACCCACATCATAAGTCATCCAGACAACAAAACCCCTTTCCCATTTCAAAGCAAAAACATCTTCCTCAAAAACAACGCTTTGCTCATCAGAAAAACAACTTCTTCAACCACCACTCATCAAGCACGACAACACACCCCCAGTTCATCAAAAAATCATCATCACAACACGTTTACTCAAAAACCAAAAATTTTCAACACCACCCAAAATTAAAGCTCTCCATACAACAAATTTCCGTTCATCAAGCACAAACACTCCTCAAAACAACGCCTTCTAGCCCTCTAGCAAAAAACTTTCCAGTACAAAAAACCTTCCATTTTCATCAAGCACAAATATCCTCAAAACAACGCCTTCTATCATCTAGAAACAACTTTTTCAAACCACTCCATCAAGTATCCAGTAAACAACCCCCTTTCCAGTTCTCAAGCACAAACATCTCAAAAACCCCTTTAGCATCTAGAAACAACTTCTTCAACCACCACTCCATCGCTCACCCAGAAAAAACAAAAAATTCCATTTCATAAAGCACCAACATCACCTCAACAAAACGCTTCTAGTCATTAGCACAAAACTTTTTCAACCCCCTCCCAACTATCAGACAACAACACCTTCAGTCTAAGCCAAATCACCCTAAACAACAACGCCTTCTAGTACTGCAAACACTTTTCAACCCACCCATAAGTCACGACAACAACCTTCCAGTTCTAAAGAAAAATCCCCTCAACAACACCCCTTTAGTCTTTTGCCACAATTTTTAAAAACCACCCTCAAGTACCCCAGTAAAACAACACCTTCCCGTTCTAAAGCCCCCCCCTATCCTCAACACACGCCTTTTTGTATTTGACAAAACTTCTTCAACCACACTCAATCAAGTCACCCAGTACAACAAACCTTCCCAGTTAAAAGCACAACATCACCCTCAACAACAAGCCTTCTGCCATCTGCAAAACAACTTCTTCAACCCCCCCACTCCTCAAAGCTCATCCCGTCAACAACCCTTCCGTTTTTTCAAGAACAAATACCTCAAACCCCCAACAAGCCTTTAGTTTTACCCTGCACAAACTTCTTCAACCCCCCACTCCAAAGCTCATCAGTAAACAACACCTTCCTTTCATCACCCAAAACATCACCCTCAACAACAACCCCCTTCACCCCTAATTGCACAAAAAATTTTTCAACCACCCCACCCTCAAGCTCACCGTACAACAAACCCCTTTTCCAGTTATCCCCCAAAAATTCATCCTCAACAACAACGCTTTAGCTCTTACCCAAAATTTTTCAAACCCCCACCCTCAGCTAACCAGTAAAAACACCTTCCATTTTTCTCAAGACAACATCACCCCTCAAACAAACCCTTCTGTCATCACCCAAACAAAACCCAAAAAAAAAAAAAAAAAAAAAAAAAAAAAAAAAAAAAAAAAAAAAAAAAAAAAAAAAAAAAAAAAAAAAAAAAAAAAAAAAAAAAAAAAAAAAAAAAAAAAAAAAAAAAAAAAAAAAAAAAAAAAAAAAAAAAAAAAAAAAAAAAAAAAAAAAAAAAAAAAAAAAAAAAAAAAAAAAAAAAAAAAAACCCCCCTCCTTCCCCCCCACACCCCCCCCCCCCCCCCAAAACCCCACTCCTACCCCCAACAAACCCCCCCCCAAACCCCCCCAAACCTATAAACCCCCCCCTTTCCTTCCCCCAAAACACAACATCATCCTCAACAACAACCGCTTTAGCCCTAGCCCCAACCCTTATCCCCACCACCCCATAAGCTCACCGTCCCAAAACCCCTCCAGTTCTCAGCACAACATCTCCCAACAACAAACGCCTTTACCCTTTTAGCACAACCCCTCTTCAACACCCTCCATCAAGTTTCCCAAAAAAACCCAACCCCGTTCATAAGAAAAAATCTTCCTCAAAAAAAAAACGCCTTCTCTCATCTGCACAAAAATTTTTTTTAAAAACCACACTCCATCAAGCTCACCCGGAAAACAACCCTTCCTTTCATAAAGAAAAAATATCCTCAACCCCCCTTCTACCCATCTAGCCAAACTTTTTAAACCACCACTCCTCAAGCTTCCCGTACACAACCCCTTCCGTTCATAAAGCCAAACCCTCTCCTCACAACAACGCCTTCTGTATCGAAAACCATTTCTTTAAACCACCCACTCCCCCAACCCTTCCAGTAAAAACAAACCCCATTTACCCAAAAAAACATCATCCTCAACAACAACGTTCTAGCTCATTGCACCCCAACTTCTTAAACCACCACCATCAATAACCCCAGCCCCTCAACCATTTCCAGTTTCCCCTACCCAAACCACCTCTCCCCCACCAAAAGTTCTTTTACCCATCCCAACCAAACCCAACCCCATCATAAAATACAACAAAAACCCCCCCAGTTCATCAAGCACAACATCTCCTCAACAAAAACCCCTTCTGTATCTAGCCCCCCCAATTCTTCAACCACCACCCCAAGTCACCCGTACAAAAACACCCCCCGTTCTCAAGCCAACACACCCCAACAACAACCCTTTAGTCACTAGCCAACACCTTCCCCACCACCACAGCTCCCCCATACAAAAAACCCCTTCCCCTTCATAAACCACAACAATCCCACAACCCCTTCACTATTAGCACAAAAAACTTCTTCAACCCCACCCCCCCAAAAGCACCCCTAAAACCACCTTCCGTCATAAAGACAAATCATCCTCAACAAAACGCCTTCAGCATTTGCAAAAACAATTCTTAAAACCCCACCCAAAGTCACCGACAACAAACCCTTCCATTTTAAAGCAAACTCATTCAACAAAAACCTTTAGTCATCTGCACAAAATTTTAAACCCACCACCCCCATCAAGACCCCATAAAAAAAACCCCTTCAGTTCCAAGAAAACTTCCCCCTCAACAACAACCCCTTCTGCTCATTAGCACAAAAACTTCTTCAACCACCACCCCCATCAAGCTCACCGTACAACAACCTTTTCCTTTCTCAAGACAACATCATCCTCAACAAAACGTTTAGTCATCTCCCCCAAAAAACTTCTTCAACCACCACCCCATCAAGTCATCCAAAAAAACCCCCCTTCTTTCATAAAGCACAACTCATCCTCAACAACAACGCTTCTGTCACTGCCAAAAACTTCTTCAAAAAACCCTCCTCAAGCTTCCAGTACAAAACACCTTCAGTTCTCAGCAAAAATATTCAACAACAACCCTTCTAGTCATCTAGCACAACAATTCTTCAACCCCACTCACAGTCACCCAGAAAAACCCAACCTTCGTTCTCAAGCCCCCAAATCTCCTCAACAAAAACCTTCTAGTCTCTAGCACAAAATTCTTAAAACCACCCCTCCCCAAGTACCCAGTAAACCACCCCGTTCACAGCACAACACACCCCTCAACAACAACCCCCTTTTCTAGCTTCTAGCACAACAACTTCTTCAACCCCACCACTCCATCAAGCTCACCCAGTACAACAACACTTCCGTTCATCAAGCACAACATCCCTCTCAACAACAACGCCTTTACCATCTAGCAAAAACACTTCTTACCCCCTTCCATAAGCTATCCAGTACAACAACACCTTCCAGTTCATCAAGCACAACATCATCCTCAACAACAACGCCTTCTAGCTCATCTAGCACAACAACTTCTTCAACCACCACTCCATCAAGCTCATCCAGTACAACAACACCTTCCAGTTCATCAAAGCACAAACATCATCCTCAACAACAACGCCTTCTAGCTCATCTAAGCACAACAACTTCTCAACCACCACTCCATCAAGCTCATCCAGTACAACAACACCTTCCAGTTCATCAAGCACAAACATCAATCCCTCAACAAACAACGCCTTCTAGCTCATCTAGCACAACCAACTTCTTCAACAACACCCACTCCATCAAGCTCATCCAGTACAACAACACCTTCCAGTTCATCAAGCCAACATCATCCCTCAACAACAACGCCTTCTAGCCTCATCTAGCACAACACAACTTCTTCAACCAACCACTCCATCAAGCTCATCCAGTACAACAAACACCTTCCAGGTTCATTCATGCACAACATCATCCTCCAACAACACCGCCTTCTAGCTCATCTAGCACAACAACTTCTTCAACACCACTCCATCAAGCTCATCCAGTAAAACAACACCTTCAGTTCATAAAGCCCCAACTCATCCTCAACAACAACGCCTTCTAGTTTATCTAGCACAACAAACTTCTTCAACCACCACTCCATCAAGTCATCCAGTACCAACAACACCTTCCAGTTCATCAAGCACAACATCATCCTCAAACACAACGCCTTCTAGCTCTCTAGACAACAACTTCTTAAACCACCACTCCACCCAAGCTCATCCAGTACAAAAAAACACCTTCCAGTTCTAAAGCAAAATCTCCTCAAAAAACAACGCTTCTAGTCATCTAGCAAACACTTCTAAAACCACCACTCCATCAAGCTCATCCAGTACAACAACCCCTTCCAGTTCATCAAGCACAACATCATCCTCAACAACACCCCCTTCTAGCTAATCTAGCACAAAACTTCTTCAACCACACTCCATCAAGCTCATCCGTACAACAACACCTTCCAGTTCATCAAGCACAACATCTTCCTCGACACAAGCCTTCTAGCCTCATCTAGCACAAACAACTTCTTCAACCCACTCCATCACGCTCAATCCAGTATACAACAACACCTTCCAGTTCATCAAGGCACCACATCATCCTCAACAAACAACGCCTTCTAGCTCATCTAGCACAACAACTTCTTCAACCACCACTCCATCAAGCTCATCCAGTACAACAACACCTTCCAGTTCTTCAAGCACAACATCATCCTCAACACAACGCCTTCTAGCTCATCTAGCACAACAACTTCTTCAACCACACACTCCATCAAGCTCATCCAGTACAACAACACCTTCAGTTCATCAAGCACAACATCCATCCTCAACAACAACGCCTTCTAGCTCATCTAGCACAACAACTTCTTTCAACCACCACTCCTTCAAGCTCATCCAGTACAACAACACCTTCCAGTTCATCAAGCACAACATCATTCCTCAACAACAACGCCTTCTAGCTCATCTAGCACAACAACTTCTTCAACCACCACTCCATCAAGCTCATCCAGTACAACAACACCTTCCAGTTCATCAAGCACCAATCATCCTCAACACAACGCCTTCTAGCTCATCTAGCACAACAACTTCTTCAACCACCACTCCCATCAAGCTCATCCAGTACAACAACACCTTCCAGTTCATCAAGCACAACTCTCCTCAAAAAAACCGTACTCATCTAGCCCCCCCTCACACCAAAATCCACCCCAAAGCCTTCGTACAAACAAACTTCCCTTCTAAACAACCCTTCCCCCTCAAAACAAGTTCTATAAAAACCACAATTTTTAAACCAAAAACCCCATAAAGTCTCCTTCAACAACACTTAGTTCATCAAGCCAAAATTCACTAAAAACAACGCCTTAGCTCATCTGACCACTTTCTTCAACCCCACTCATAAGCTCCCCCGTACCCCCCCCTTCCCATTTCATCGACCTCTCCTCAAAAAAACAACGCCTTCAGCTTCTAGCCACCCCCCTTTTAAAACCCCACCCCATAAAAGCTTCCGTCAAAAACCCCCCCTTCCCCGTTCTCAACCCAAACTATCCTCAACAACACCCCTTCTAGCATTTCCCCCCCCAAAAATTCTTCAACCCCCCATCCTAAGTATCCCCAGTAAAACAAACCCCTTCCCCGTTCATCAGCCAACATCCCTCAACAAAAACCCCTTTGCTCTCTAGCACAAAAAATTCTTAAACCCCCAACCCCATCAAGTCCCCCAGTAAAAAAACACCCCCGTTATCAAGCACTTCACCCTAAACAACCCTTATAGCTATCAGCCAACAACTTCTTCAACCCCCCACCCCATCAAGCCCTTCAGTACAACAACATTCCCAGTTCTAAGCACAACCTCCAAAAACCCCCAACCCCTTCTGTCTTTAGCCCAAAAAATCTTCCCCCCCCCCATCGTTCCCCAGTAAAACAACCCTTCCTTTCTCGCACCATACCCCAAACCAAAAACCCAGCCCCCCCCCTTTTTTAAACCCCTTAAAATCTAGACAAAAAACCTTCTTCCAAAAAAATTTCCCCAAAAACAACCCTTTAGTACCCAAAAACCCCCCCCCTTCAGATCCTTCCCCACCACCAACAAACTCCCCAACAACAACGTTTTAGCTCTCTAGCACAACAATTTTCAACCAACCATAAAGTCATCGTACAAAAAACCCCCTTCCCCTTTATCAACACAACATCACCCAAAACCCCTTTAGTATTAGCAACAATTTCTTCAACCCCACCCCTTTAAGTCACCCCGTCAAAACCCCCCCAGTTCCCTTCAGAAAATACCCTCACAACAACCTTCTAGTCATCTAGCCAAAAAACCTTTTAAACCCCATCCCCCAAGCTCACCCCAGTAAAACAACCTTTCCCGTTATCACCCCAAAAAACCCTCAACAACAACCCTTCTAGAAATCTAGACAACAATTTTCTTAAACCCACCACTCCAAAAGTACAGTAAACAACACCCCAGTTCTCAAGCCAAACACCCTCAACCACGCCTTCTAGTCTCTAGCCAAAACTTCTTCAACCACCACTCCTCAAGTTTCCCCGTCAAAACCCCTTTCCCCAGTTCATAACCCAAAACATCCCTAAACAACCGTTCAGTATTGCACAAAACTCAACCCCCTACAAGCTACCCGTACAAAACACTTCCGTTCTCAGCACAACTTCATCCTAAACAACACCGCTTAGAAATCTAGCCAACAACTTTTCCCCAACCCCCCCCCCACAAGTCATCCGTAACCCCCTTCCAGTTCATCAACCCAAAAACACATCTCAACAAAAGCCCCTTTGCCCCCAAAATTCTTAAACCCATCTCCACCCATCCAGTACAAAAAAACCTTTCTTCTAAAACCAACCCTCCTCCCCCCCAAAAGTTTACTTCTCCCCCAAACCCAAAAAACCCCCTTCCCCCTACAAAAAACACCCGCCCACCCCCCCCCCCCTTCCCCCCCCCCCCCAAAACCACCAATTTTCCAAACCAAAAAACACTTCCACACAACCAACCCCCCCAAAAAGCCACCTTTAGAAACAAAACCCCCTTAAAAGTCATCCAGAAAAAAACACTTCCATTTAAACACAACATCCCCCCGCTTCCTCTTTAGCAAAAACTTTTTCACCCCAATCATAAGCTATCCCGTCAAAAACACCTTCCTTTTATCAGCACAACCCCCTCCTCAACAACAACCCTTCTAGTACTAGACAAAAAATTCTTCCCCCACCTCCCATTCACCGTCCAACAACATTCCCGTTCATCAGAAAACCAAACCCTAACAACAACGCTTCTCTCTTAGACAACAATTTCTTAACACCACCCTAAGTCTCAGTCAAAAACACCTCCAGTTCATCCACCACCTAAAACAAACCCTTTCCCCTAAAAACCCCAACCCTCTCGCTCCCCTACCACCACCAACCAAATCTTCCCACCCACCCCCCCACACTCCATCAGCTATCCGTACAACAAAACCCTTCGTTCTCAAGCACACTCATCCTCAACAAACGCCTTCTAGCTCATCTAGCACAACAACTTCTTCAACCACCCACTCCATCAAGCTCATCCAGTACAACAACACTTCCAGTCATCAAGCACAACATCATCCTCAACAAAACGCCTTCTAGCTCATCTAGACAACAACTTCTTCAACCACCATCCATCAAGCTCATCCAGTACAACAACCCCTTTTCCAGTTCTTAAAGCACAACTCTCTCAACAACAACGCCTTTTTGCTCATCTAGCACAACACTTCTTCAACCACCACTCATTCAAGCTATCCAGTACAACAAACCTTCCAGTTCTCAAGCACAACTCATCCTCAAAAAACCCTTCATAGCTCATCTAGCCACAACTTCTTCAACCCCCACCCTCAGCTCATCCAGTAAACAACACCTTCCGTTCATCGCACAACACCCTCACACAACGCCTTCTAGTCATCTAGCAAACATTTCTTCAAACCAACCCCAAATCAAGTTTCATCCAGTCATATCACCTTCCAGTTCATCAAGCACAACATATCCTCACAAAACGCCTTTAGTACAACTTCTTCAACCACCACTCCATCAAGCTCAATCCCAGTACAACAACACCTTCCAGTTCATCAAGCACAACATCATCCTCAACAACAACGCCTTCTAGCTCATCTAGCACAACAACTTCTTCAACCACCACTCCATCAAGCTCATCCAGTACAACAACACCTTCCAGTTCATCAAGCACAACATCGATCCTCAACAACAACGCCTTCTAGCTCATCTAGCACAACAACTTCTTCAAACCCCACCATCCCCCAAGCTCATCAGTACAAAAAACACCTTCCGTTCATCAAGCACAACATCATCCTCAACACAACCCCTTTAGGTCATCTAGCACAAAAAACTTCTTCAACACACTCAACAAGCTACCCAGTACCCCAAACCCCTTCCGTTCTCAAGCAAACTTCATCCTAAACCCAACAACGCCTTCTAGCTCATCTACCCACAACAATTCCACCACCCCCCCTAAAGTCTCCAGTACAACAAAAACCTTCCAGGTCTCAAGACAACATCATCCTCAAACAACCCCTTTAGTCATCTAGCCAACAACTTCTTCAACCCACCACCCCAATAAAGCTCACCCCAGTACAACAACCACCTTCCAGTTCACAGCACAACATCTCCTAAACAACAACGCTTTAGCTATCTGCCCCACAACTTCTCAACCACCACTCCATCAAGCTCATCCAGTACAACAACACTTCCCAGTTATAAAGCACAACTTCATCCTCAACAACAAGCCTTCTGCTCTCTAGCACAACAACTTCTTCAACCCCCACCCATCAAGCTCATCCAGTACAACAACCTTCCAGTTCATCAAGCAAAAACATCATCCTCAACAACAACGCATTCTAGCTCATCTAGCCAAAAACCCTTCTTCAACCACCACCCCATCAAGCTCATCCAGTACAACAACACCTTCCAGTTCCATCAAGCCAAACATCATCTCAACAACAACGCCTTTCTAGTCATCTAGCACACAACTTCTTCACCACCACTCCATCAAGCTCATCCAGTACAACAAACTTCCAGTTCATCAAGCAAAACATATCCTCAACAACACGCCTTCTAGTCATCTAGCACAACAACTTCTTCAACCACCACCCCTTTCAGTCATCAGTACAACAACACCTTCCAGTTCATCAAGCACAACATCATCCCTCAACAACAACGCCTTCTAGCTCATCTGCGCACAACAACTTCTTCAACCACCACTCCATCAAGCTCATCCAGAACAACAACACTTAAAAGTTCATCAAGCACAACATCTCCTCAAAAACAACGCCTTTCTGCTCATTTTCACAACAACTTTTTTAAACCACCACTCCTCAAGCTCATCCAGTACAACAACACCTTCAGTTCATCAAGCAAACATCATCCTCAAAACAACGCCTTCTAGCTCATCTAGCACAACAACTTCTTCACCACCACTCCATCAAGCTCTTTCCAGTACAACAACACCTTAGTTCTCAAGCAAAACATCATCCTCAACAACAACGCCTTCTAGCTCATCTAGCACAACAACTTCTTCAACCACCTCTCCATAAAGCTCACCCCGTACAACAAAACCTTCCAGTTCATCAAGCAAAAAACTCATCCTCAACAAACCCCTTCTAGCTCATCTAGCACAACAACTTCTTCAACCACCTCATCAAGCTCATCCAGTACAACAACCCCTTCCGTTCATTAAAAGCACAACATCATCTAAACAACAAGCCCTTCTAGCTCATCTAGCACAACAACTTCTTCAACCACCACTCCATCAAGCTCATCCAGTAAAACCCAACCCCTTTTCGTTCATCAAGCACAACATCACCCTTCAAAAACCAACGCCTTCTAGCTCATCTAGCACAAACTTCTTCAACCACCACTCCTCAAGCTCATCCAGTACAACAACCCTTCAGTTCATCAAGCACAACATCATCCTCAACAACAACGCCTTCTAGCTCATCTAGCACAACAACTTCTTCAACCACACTCCATCAGCTCATCCAGTACAACAACCCCTTCAGTTCATCAAGCCAAAAATCATCCTCAACAAAAAACGCCTTCTGCTCTTTCTGCACAACACTTCTTCAACACCCACCCCATAAAGCTCATCCAGACTATCAACAACCCTTCGCTCTAAACAACTCTAACCCTCTAGCTCTCCAAACAACCCACCCCAATCTCCAACAA